TGTCAGGGAAAGTGATGGAAAACACATTTTGTGGATTATCGTAGCTTTTAAAAACGTAAAGAAAAAGATGAACCCCCACCCAATATTTGTGTTGTTTGGGAAAAAAATTTTGGGGGATCATATATTTTTCGTCTTGGGTTTTTTTCACTTACAATTTTAAGTTTATGGGATCGCCCCAAAAACACCTTTACACGAAAATTTGGGTTTTTTTGAATATTTTGGTAATGCCCTTGGATATGTAATCACGTCAACCTCAACGAGTAGGGAAATTTGAATAGAGGGGTTTGTGGAAATTTTTTCTGATATACCTGATGATTTTATTATTTTTGCCGACTTAAAACATTAGATAGGGTTTATTAGTTTAAGCGTTTTTGTGATGTGGGAAAGAAATGAAGCCAAACAAATGTTTTTTGTTAAAAATAAGTTCATTTAGGGGCTGTTTGTAAGGGGCATAAGCCCCCCAAAAAAAATAAATTAGTTTTTATTGCAAAAGGGAAAACCGTACATTTAAAAATTGCGTCCTTTTTGGTTTTTGTTCATATAAGGATTATATTTGGATTTTCCCAAAAAAGAGGCATTAAAAAGGGTTTTTGAGGCCCCGGCAACCTTTTATGGGCTAAAAAGATGTCAGAAAAATTTCACGATTTACGAGGGATTTTGGGGAGAAGTCTGAAAACCCCAAAATGATGGGTTATTCATATTGATTTCGAGCGTCGAATTTCGGTATAGGTGGAGTTTGTACAAAAAGCTTTTTTGGGAAAATTGGACAGGTTCGAAACCAAAGAAGGAGCAAAAACTTGAAAAAGGCCAAAGACCTATTGTGAACCTCGGGGAAATGTTGAGTTTTTTACATTTTTTTCATGTTTAAAATATTGTTTGACGTTTGTTCTTGGAATGGATATTTTCTTAAATGGGAAATTTTTCAAAAACCGAAAACAGATGGGAGTGCTTGAAGTGTACACAATAGACTTTAACTAAGCATCGAGGAACTAAGCATAAAGTCTTTTTCGGATTCCGGTTTACCCCCTTTTTCGTGCTTTTATAGTGGTCCCCTATTTTTAAAAGAGCTTCCGTGGAGGGTTTAAAAAATGTGTGAAAAAACATGAACAGTGTCGGAACTGCAGTTTGAATTGGCCACTGGGGTTAAGAAAGTAAAACGGGCAGAGGAAAAAATTTCTGCCCATTAATTTTGGGATGTTTGCTCATGCGAAATTTTTTGTTGTTTTTTCTTGATCTGGGGCGTTTCCAGGGAAAATTTAAAAGAAATTTGTGGTTTGGGAAATTTTTTCGTGGGAAACTTAGGGGAACGGGGGAAAACGTGCGCCCAAGTCTTTTGCGGATAAATTGATTTTAAATGATGCCCCCAAAAAAAAGTAGACAGACATTAATCGAGGGTTTTACCCCAAAAGGTACATTTCTTCGAAAAAGGTATAAATTTCAAATTGGGGAGGTTGAACTTTTAAAAAATGGAAAGGGCCAACTAAATCAGTAGCGAAAAAAGTTGAAAAAAGTTTGGAAAACATTTAAAAAAAATGAAAATTAACACAAAAAGTAAATAAAAACAATTTAAAAATTTCAGGGAAAAAATACACAAAAGGCAGCTAGATTCAAAAATAAAGAACTTTTAAATTTACACTAAAAAAAATTAAAAAAATTCCAGAAAAAAAAAAAAAGATGACTTTTAAAATTCTTAGAACTAACAAAAGTGTGTTGAGTTGTGAATAAATTGAAGAACAGGGAAAATGTTTTTGGGTTTTTTCTAATTCATAAAATTTTGTTTATATTCTAAAAATCCCTTACTTATTTTTTAATTGTTTAGTTTTTTTATTTAATCTGCATAATATCATATAAAATAGTTTTTTTCACAGTATTTTTGTAAAACTTTTGTATTTTTTCCCTGTATTTTTAGTCCCAAAATTTTTCTTTTTTTTTATTTAAAATTTATTACAAAGTTTCAAAGGTTGTCAAATTAAAATTTAAATATTAAATAATTGGTTTTCTTGGAGTAAACAAATCAAAAGGGGGGAGGTGTTAAAGAAATTTGAAACTAATCTTTTTCTAGAAGAGTTTCTTTTGGATGGAAATTTTGGCAATATTTTAACTGGTTAAAAAGTTTTGTTAACTTTTCCATTTTTTTTGAAAACATTGATCATTAAAAGTCCAAATATTTGGCACACCGTTTTTTTTGATTTTGACAAACCCCATTCCAAATTTGGAAAGTCGGCAAAAAGGTCGGCACCTTTAAGTCGCGCAAAGGAAAGGTCCGCAGAATCACCCCCCGCAGCTAGTTTTAATAGGAGAGGGCCACAAAAAAGAGGTCGCGCAGTCTAAATACAAGGTTAAGTTTTTTACCCTTCAGCATCAAATTTTGTTAAAAAAAAATAAATTGGGCATATCAAATTTTTTAATGGGGTTTCCCTTTCACAGCTTATTATTTTAAAGGTTATTGGTTAAATGTTCTGGTTTAAATGGGGAATTATTTTCGTTGTTTAATGAAATTACATCAGTTTTAAAGTTTATAGAAAAGTCAACAGTATAAATGTATTGCTTTTAAACCATATATAGTACAATATTTTATTTTGAAGTATATTTTTCACATTAAATGCATTATTGGGCAGATAAAAATTATTTTTGAGTTTAAAATGTAAATTTATTTAACCCATTTTGATTTTGTACAAGTTTTATTGTAAACATCTGATACCTTAACCCGTTCGGCCCTTTTGACATTTTTAAGCTTTTCAGCATTTTAAAAAATCCCCCAAAATTAGCGCGAATGAGTTTTGTGCAAAAGGGAGGTCGCGCAATAAAGGCGCAAAGTCTACTTTTTCAACCACCCCGCGCCCAAAAGGGAAAGATTTTAGGGTGTTTCATTGGGGGGCATAGCCCCCCCAAAAATAAACCCATATAGAAAAACTACAGAAGTCAGTATATTTAATGCAAAAATCAGAAAATACCCCAGAGCTTGCAGCCCCTTTTATTTTTTAAATGTCAAAGGGGATTTTTTGATTGATGAATCATGAAGCCGGTTGTTTTCGTTTTCCTTTTTATGTTTTTTGGGAAATGGGGAAAAATTTATACTATCAAAACGACGAACGAATACGGAATATTTTAGCGCATATGTTATGAATAAAAAAAAATGTTATAAATAAGCAAACACTATCAACGCCTGAATCCCAGGCTACACCAAATGCTTTAATCGAGATATGTACGAAGGCACTCGTTGAAAATGGTCCTGAGACAATTTTGAAAGTTGGTCAAAATCCTTTAAGAATTGGATAATTTGCGCACAATTTGCTGTTTTTCTTTTCTTTTCCTCTCTTTTTGAAAACAAACGAATATCTCCGCCAAAAAGATTGAATCAGTAATATACCAACACTTTGCGCGAGGGTGACAAGGCTTCCGTGAAAATTTGGTTAAAATCTCTTGACAAATGTAGGAAGAGTGGCATACAGAAGAAATAAATTACGCCCGCCAGCCAACATACTACAATCTAATAACCACGAAACCTGGTTAAAAAGTCTACTTTTGTCTTTCAAAAATAGAATTGATAAACAGTTGTGCCTTTTGTTTGCAACCATAAAATGACACTGATTTTCTTTGACTGATTCAAAGATCATTTTTAATATACACGTGCAGTCAAAGCCGGGAAGAAAAGTACTTAATTCACCTTACTAACTAACACACTGATGTATTCCTTAAAAACGAAGTAAGGAATGTAAAAAAAACTCTTGACAGATTTGATCAAGAGCAACATAAAAAGTATATTAACACATTGTTTCATTCTGTAAAATTGTAGCGATAGCCAATGTGAGTAGTGTTCAGGGCCAATTATAATGTTTTCCTTCTTTACCAATTTATATGCTTAAAGGTTACGTACATACAACAACAATATATTGCTTGTTTATATTTGTATTCTAACTTATATACCTATATCTAAGAGGAACACGATGAAACTAAAAGAAACATACAATAATCAATATTTATCAAATTATCAAACGTCAGTTCACATAATGTCAAACTTAAACATTGGTCCATTCATTTACAACATGTAACTCCTATATGTACTCTAGATAGTCTAAAGGAATTACATGGACCTTCAGTGTGTGTTTTATGTCAAATGGATTAGTATTTTCTTTTAATACTTCTCATGTTTTGCTGCGATTTGGAAGGGACTGCTTCTTGTTTGTTTGAAATGGAAATATTTAATTGACCAAGGTGATCACTTTATATGTATGTATACACTAATTACAAAATTCGTACTTTTTAACACAATTTAAATGCTAAGATGTTCGGCATAGGGGTAGATTCACAATATTAAATAGTAGTCAATGACCATAAGTCATGTTCAATATTTTATCTTGACACTTTGTTTTGAGTATAAGTTAGAAATGATACTCTTGGTCACGAATAAGCTCTTTTTGTCGCGAGCATCGCGATAATTTATTGTATGAATGTTAATAATTTAATAAATGTTTCGTTTTTTCTTGTATTAAAGATAATAATATGATTAACTCATATAATGAATTTACACAATATGCATGCTCTTTTTCATATGCAACGGTGTTGTGTGTTGCTGTAAAGTATTCGTTTAGCAACGATGTAATTTACATTATTTGATATACATATACCGTTCTTATTGTAACGTTCAATCACCGCCGGGAAACGTCTATTGTTACATCAACGGTGTTTGACACCTTTGGTCATGTATTTTACGTGTCTTCTATATATTTGGCGGGAAAATTGATTCTATATAAAGGTTTCATAGTATATGTAAAAGTTAGTTTGTTTATGTATTTAGACCTTTCGGACTTGTAGAACTTAAAACTTAATATTGGATTTAAATTGTGATTCTTTGATCATTTACATGAAAAAAAGGATATTAAAAGTAGTCAATCATTTCTTGTTGTTCTTACTTATATATAACTGTTTCCAGTGTAGCTTTTAAAAGCTTAAAATTAAAACTTCGCTACATTGTTCTTCTTGTTCTTGTTTTTATAAAAATGACAAATATCTCATATATCAAAGGTGTTAAAACTAGGTTTTGTAATGTTCTAGAAAGAGAAATTAGTGTAGCCAAGGATTTACTTACGTGTATTGTTGAGAATGACGAAGAGGAAGAAATGGAATTAAAAATCTCAAAGTGCATGGAAAAGCTTACTTCTTTTATTGCAAAAAGTGGAAGTTCAAAGTGAAAAACTGTGTTGTTTCATTAAAGAAAGCTAAAGTGAGCCTATTGGAATGATGTTGGATGAAAATTGTTCATTGTGTACAGATGCTATAGATTTACATTCGGATTCAAAACATTACATAGAGGATATTGAATGAGTGTAGTTTAATACTAAATTTATTAAACGAGTTGAATAAAATCATATTATGCGAGCCTCTGGAGAGCATAATATTGTTTTGTCAACGAGTTTAATAAATTTAGTATTGAATCTACACGAATATGATATTCTATTTATCACATAATATAAAATAGGAACAGTAAACTGTTAAAATGAGTATTTTTTCAATGACGCGCCTAAAGTGTAAGGCTAACAATAGCGCGCTTTAACGCTTATTATGTTTATATTTAGCGCAAATGACGTCAGGTCAAAGTGTTATTAAATGCCTTTATTACATGCTTTTTGGTGGTTTATAGAAATATATCAGTGAAATAAAACTGGTAATTTCACTGTTTGAAACAGTGAAATTACCACTTTGATAATTTCACTGTTTTGAATTTAAGCCCCTTACGTTGTTTCAGTGAAATACCAGCGTGCACAGTACTGGGTACCAACTTAATGACGTAACGTCGTAAATGACGTCACGTTGTATTATTATTTGGCGCGCTTTTCATTCAGTATTAGGTTTAATGTCTTTTTAAAACGTTTCTTTGCATATAATAAAAAGAAAATGTGTTTAGTTTAGTGTAAGATCGAAATATATTTCACCTTGTGAACACCCAAAGTTCATATTTCACTCGTGGCTGCGCCACTCGTGAAATATACCTTTTGGTGCTCACTCGGTGAAATATATTCCGATCATACACTGAACTAAACAAATATCCTCTATTTATTACACTCCTGCGCCGCGTATTATGTGATAAAAAGAAATAATTGTACCTTGAATGAAGAAAAGCACCATAAAAAAGGAAGCTGTTGATCATCCTACAACAAAGCAATTACTTGATCTGCAAGCTAATACGCAGAAGTTACTTGAGTCTCAATTGAAACAAAAAGAACATTTTGAAATGAAATCGTTACAAAATGTTTCAACGGTTAAGTTACCTTAAATCGACATGATCTCATTCGGTGGAGACAAAACAAAATGAATCGAATTTTGGGACTCTTTCCAATGTGCTGTTAATAATAACAAATCTCTGACGGATACTGAAAGATTCAACTACTTAAAAACAAAGTTGTTTGGCGAAGCTAAATTTGCTATAGCAGGTCGAGCACTCTCAAACGAAAACTTCAAAGTAGCAGTGGATATACTATTAAAGAGATTTGGTAATTCTCAAGAAATCATTGATTTACACTACAATGAATTGATAAACATGCAACCTGCTTCAAATAAAGTTGAGTCCTTTAGGTGTCTTTCAGATAAAGTGGAGAGACATTTGCGAAGCTTAGAAGTTTTGAAACAAAATGTGGATCAAGATATCTTTGTGTCCATATTACGGTCAAAACTGCCGGAGGATGTTCTTATTCAGCTTGAAATTCAGAAAGGAGTAGACGTTAAGTGGACTGTGACTAGATTAAATAAACAATTACAAGAGTACTTGGTTGCTCGTGAACGTGCTGTTAAAGAAAAGGTGAAGGATACAAAAAGCAAAACAGAAGGTCATGAACGAAATACATCATTAAATAAACTGCCACAGGAGAGATATTCTTCTACCAGAAATGGTGTTACAAACATGAAATCATCGGCAACGGCGTTGGTTACTACAGTTGCCAATGCCGTAAAGAAACCTTACGATACCAAAATGCAGTGTCGTTACTGTCAGAAAGCACATTGGAGTGATGAGTGTAATCAATACAAAACTATACGCGAAAGAAAAGATCGTGTAAAAGGAAGTTATTTAAATGTCTGAAACCTGGGCACCTATTTAATGATTTCATGTATACTGCGGGTAAATGAATGCTCACCATAGAAGTCAATGTCCAAAAAGGTTCAGTCAAATTGAAAATGTGACACATTTAGCAAATAATATACAAATGAGTGACGAATCACAAGAAGTGAAAGAAAATGGTCTCAGGGAAATGAACAAAGTGATATTTATGCAAACTGCAAGCACTGAAATTCAAAATCCAGTAACAATGGAAAATTCACAAGTAAGAATACTTTTTGATTCAGGGTCACATAGGAGTTATATGTCGGAAACATTAGCACAAAAAATGAATTTAAAGGTGTTTGGAAAACAAGATATTCATGAATCAACATTTGGCAGAAGGTTATAACTGTAAATATTGTGCCATTTATAAGTGAAATATCTAGAGTCAGAAAGAGTACATGCCATAATGCATAGTGTGCAACTTGCAGATAGTTATGTCTCCAATTGAGTTTTTGATTGGTAATGACTGCATGTGTTACATAGATTTTGTTCTCAGTTAAAACCTGGTCTTTATTTGTTGGCTTCTAATCTCGGATGGATCTTCAGTGGAAGAACCTGTAATACAGAAGAGAAGATGACATAAGCATGCTTATTCTAATACATACCAGTAATACAATCAATGAATGTACATTTGCTAGTATGGACAAAAGTTTACAAACCACAAAAATTGCAATGGACGATCTATGGAATATTGAAGCAATCGGTATGACAGATAAACAGGTAGACACTGATGATGAGATAGCAATGAAGAAATTCCGTGAAACCATTCAATATAAAGACAAAAGATATTTTGTAACATGGCCTTGGAAGAATGAAGAACCCGATATACCCTTAAATAGAGAGTTGGCAGTAGGTAGATTAAGATCAACCGTAAATCGAATGAAAAATAAGCCAGAACTTATGCAGAAATATGATAATGTCATTCAAGAGCAATTTACAAAGGGCATCATTGAAAGAGTAGAAACAAAAAGAGTAGGAATTGTCCACTACTTACCTCATCATGCTGTTATCACTCCACAGAAAACCACCACAAAATTGAGAGTAGTATACGATGCCTCATCTAAGTCAAAACAGAGCAACAAAAGTTTGAATGAGTGTCTCTACAGAGGACCCGTAATGTTACACGACTTGTGTGGTATGCTTATGCGATTTAGACTACATAAGATAGCATTGGTTGCAGATATTGAGAAAGCCTTTCTACAAATTGGTTTATAGGAAAGTCAAAGAGATGTAACACGCTTTGTGTGGTTAAAAGATATCAATAACCCGAGATAAGACAATTCTAACTTACAGAAATATCGATTTTGCCGGGTGCCTTTCGTTGTAGTATCAAGTCCGTTTCTAATGGGTGTGACCATTGAACTTCATCTAGACTCCTATAATAGTGAGATTGCAGAAAAAATAAAAAAAGAACAAGACGTGTAACGAAGTTTGATTGAATGTACGTGAATGGATATCAAACAGTTTTGAAGTTAACAAATCATTTCTAGAAAAGGACAAAGCAGAAACTGAATCTATGAAAGTTTTAGGACATGATTGGGATGTTGATAATAACACTAATGACTAAGCAGTTAAATTATGGCAGTATTAATCATATGAGCCGCGCCATAACAAAACCAACATAATGGGTTTGCGACCAGCATGTATCCAGACCAGCCTGCGCATCTGCGCAGTCTGATCAGGATCCATGCTGTTATTATCAGTTTCTCTACTTGTAATAGGGTTTGTAAGAGAACAGAATGTCATTTTGTGTGTCTGAAAACAGAAAATAGACATAAATGACAGTGTATAATTGTTAACACTAACATGCATCACATAAAAATTCACTGTGTACAACAGTTAATTCTAATGTGCATGTCACATGATAAAAAATAAAGATATGCAACTATTTTTGGAAAATAAAACAAAACAAACAAAAAAACCACAACAACAGTGCTGAACATAAACAATACAATATTGTTACAAAACGCTTTCCTCTCTAATAGCTAAGCTGGAAAGTGTTACATCTGAAATCTTTGATTCAAGAGTCCTTAGTGAGACACAACTTTTCTATATCTAGAAGCATCATTTAGTAAATGACAATCTGTATAATATCATTGAGCTTTATACCATATTTATTTCTGTTTTGTTCTTTGTTTTTTCTTTTTGTCGGGTTTTACATCACACCAATAGAGCCTCAGGGGCCCCTCAGTGCATTTTTTCAGGAACAAATAGAATAGAACGAATAGAACCACAGACATTCCACAAGATAACTTGAAAGCTTCCTCTTTATACTTTTTACAATTAAACTTGTACCTTGATCCAAAATGACACAATGTTAGGTACTTGTATGCCAGCCATTAAATGAACTCCAAAGGAAGGGAGATAACTTATTGCTGAAACTTAATATCGGTATACCTTTGTGGTCTCCCTTGTGAAGATTACTGACAACATGTGTAACAAGCTCGTCGAAGTAAGACGGCCTACTTTTATCATAGTGGTCTCCCTGTATGAATTAATTTACAAATTATACAAATATCAATTAAATATCTAAGGAGATGCAGTGCTTGCTGCAAGGAAAGGTTTGCTCTCATATATGGAAAGTTTAAAGGAACTCCACTGAGGATGAAAAAAAAACACTAAAAACATCAAATATGAATTTACTTAGGTCAGCCGGGACATTTAAAACAGAAAAATATACAAAAGATGTTTAAGAAATATACTCTTGAACTATTTATAGCCCAGTTTGAGTGAAAAGCGTTGCAACACTTTCAAATTAATGTCATTTCTCATGATTAAAATACATTGTAATTATTCTCAAAACAAAACAAAATGGAGAGAGCGATTGATCTTAAATTTTGCACAAAAACTATTGGTCTATACCTACATCAAATGGAACATTATCTCAAAAAAATATTTCCAGTCCTGTCATGTCAAAAAACCTTAGTAGAGTTTCAAGTCTATAGCTTTTATAAGTTATGAGAAATGGCCTGGACAAAAATAAAGTATGAAAATTAATAAAGGTTAATAACTCAAAAATAAGAAGTGCAGAGTACTGGTTCTTATACACTGCACTCTTTCTTAATGAGATCTATCATCCTATGAAGTTTCATGTTCATAGCTTTTATACTTTAGGAAAAATGGCCCGGACAAAAATAAAGTATGAAAATTAACAAAGGGCAATAACTCAAAAAATAAGAAATGCAGAGTACAGGTTCTTGCGCACTGCACTTCTTCTTAATGAGATCTATCATCCTATGAACTTTCATGTTTATAGCTTTTATACTTTAGGAGAAATGGCCTGGACAAAAATAAAGTATGAAAATTAACAAAGGGCAATAACTCAAAAAATAAGAAATGCAGAGTACAGGTTCTTGCGCACTGCAATTCTTCTTAATGAGATCTATCATCCTATGAACTTTCATGTTTATAGCTTTTATACTTTAGGAGAAATGGCCTGGACAAAAATAAAGTATGAAAATTAACAAAGGGCAATCACTCTAAAAATAAGAAATGCAGAGTACAGGTTCTTGTGCACTGCACTTCATTATAAGAAGCATGCATACCAAGTTTGAAGTCAATCTGACTTATAATGACCGACTGATGCTCCAGACAAGCTTAAGGAGACACCGACGCCAACAACGATGCGGACAATGACGCCAACATCGACAAAAGTAACCCCTATATGTCACCTTTTTCAAAAGGACACAATAAACTACCTTTAGGGCATCCCTGTGATTATGTTTGTTTCATTCTAATCAAACTCCCTTACCCTTGTGGGTTCAAATCTTGCTAGATAAACACATTTCATATTAGGAAGCTATTCAGCTAGCTTAATGACTGTTTTACTGTCAACTTCCTGCTTTGTCTATAATAATGCCCAAGGTCTTTCTCCACCCACTACATGTCGATGTGACTTAAAACTTAAATTAAAAAACATAAATATTAACTAAACAAACATAAAAAGTCAATCAAACCTGTTTAAAGCCTTCCTGAGCTGTTTTATGAATATTTCCGTCACTCATGCTTGTAGATTTTGATAGCAATGAATTAACCCACTATGTCTTGTTGCTGCACATTTAAACTAGTGTAGAAAATATATTAAGCATGTCTTCATATAAGGTCATCAGATAATTAGAAAAAAACTACACAGAGATAAGTTTTGACCTGTGTTCAGTCACAAATGATAACAAATACTTCAGTTTTTTCAATCTTTCTTGTGACATTGTTGTTTTTTAAAAGTGATGTGTATCTGTTAAGAGGGAAAAATCAGGCTATACTTACTACAAAATTGGACAATCTAAATCTTTAATCACATTAAACTTAAAATGAAAATTTCATAAAATGCAACATTAACCTTATCTCATGTTAATAAAAAACTAAATAAATACTGTAAGTTTCAGTTGAGATATGATTAGTTTAAACATTATATTTACTTGTAATCTTTACATTTACATAATAAAGTACATAAAAATTTTTTATGGATTGAGTAGGAAACTCAAAAAGCAATTTTTAAAAACTCTCTCCCTATATGATTAATTATTTGTTCATTTTTTATATATAAGTCAAATGTGGCTGAAATGAAGTTCTTTCTAAACTTTAGTAAGAAGAGTAAAATTATACCATAATTATTATAGTTTTTCAGTGACATATTTCATCTACAGTACAACCTCTACAGCATAACACCCTAATGGACACAAAAATTTCAGTAGCTGCTGAAAGGTGTTACTGTAGAAAGATCAAATTTACTGTTAATGTTTACTTTTGGAAGAAACAATATTGTTGTTATTGTTGAACAGAGGTTATTGCTCTACAGAGGGTCTTTCTATAGAGGTTATACTGTAATTGAAAGGCATATTATAAACAAATACTTTATTCAGTGGGGTTGAGATGCGATGAAAAGAAAATCTAAATTTACCTGTGTGTAGTACAAGTGTTTAAAGTGAATCACTTATAAAATATAAATAGATATAAACTTTTATTTTGATAAAATCACCATTAACATGTTACCGTAAAAATTCAAAAGGCAAAACACTAGTGTTGAATGAAAATAATTTTGACTTTAATCACACTTGCATCTATATAACATCATGTAACTGGCTAATGAAATGTAACCAGTAGTCATGTCATGCATAAAGAAATTACATAATGTATTTTGTTAATGATCTTGGGAGTAAATTATACCAGCACAGTTTTTGTTAATAATCTTGGGAATAAATAATTCTTACCAGCAATGTTTTTGTTAATGAACTTAGGAGTAAATTATTCTTGGGAGTAAAATTAATTATAGCAGCAATGTGTTTATTAATGATCTTGGGAGTAAATTATACTAGCAATATTTTTGTTAATGATCTTAGAAGGAAATTAATATTCGGAGTAAATTATAGCAGCAATGTGTTTGTTAATGATCTTGGGAGTAAATTATACCAGCAATGTTTCTGTTAATGATCTTGGGTGTTAATAATACCAGCAATGTTTCTGTTAATGATCTTGGGAGTAAATTATATACCAGCAGTGTTTTTGTTAATGATCTTGGGAGTAAATTATACCAGCAGTGTTTCTGTTAATGATCTTGGGAGTAAATAATACAAGGAATGTTTTTGTTAATGATCTTTGAAGTAAATTATTTTTGGGAGTAAATTATACCAGCAATGTTTTTGTTTATGATCTTGGGAGTAAATAGTACCAGCAATGTTTACGATACTGTACAATTGTATCTACACTATATATGTAACAGCATGATAAATATTCAAACTCATGTTCCTTTAAGCTAATGTAGATCTGATGTTTTATTAATGAAATGTATGCTGACACATAAGTGATCACATTTTTTAGAAATTGAGTATTAACACACATTTGATTTAATGATAGAAAATATTCTTAAGACATTCACACACTTTTTATTTCAAAGAACCATATTCATTTAATGAACATAAAATATTTTTTGGCCAAGGGGCCGGGACAAAGTGGAGGCAGTAACTCTGAAGTATGTAAATAATAAATAATGAACTTTACAAAAACAATGGTGAGATTTACTGTGAGATTAACAACAAAAAGAATATCTTAAAATGGCATGCTCCCATCTTTGAGATCTTTGACTGGGACTCTATATGACTAGAGCAAATGAACAAGAATTTAATTCTCTTTCATGGGCAAAGGGAGAGCACAACTTTAATTTTGTGATATTGCAATTTTGTGATATTGCAAGATTTACTCCTCTTTGATAAAATAAATTAATGATGTATAAGTTGCTGCAGGTCATTAAAAAAAAGCCAAATAAGGAGTGGAAGAAAATGAAGAGAACTAAATTGAATCACATTTTATTGTATAACTTTCTCAGTACAATAAAAATCAGATTTAAAAGGAATGTTTATTTCTACATCATCTGTAAACGTCTCGTCAAGCACGGCTCGGAATTTCTGCACTGCCTCCTCTTTCCGCCGGGGGTCCAGCCTCGCTATAACACTGATTGACGTGAAATGATTGAGCACAAAATCTTTGTCACCCTGGAAACAAATTAACAATTTTGAATACAATATACCATTCAATAATATAATTTTGTACAAAAGAAAATGCACTTGATAGTCTGAATTTTATAACGGCTTAAATTATATCACAATTAAAGCTGTGACTTTATAAACATAGCACATTCACCGACTACAGCTTTAACTCAAAGTTTAAAGGATTTCAAAAAAAAATAATAAAAATAATAATATTTAAGCTACCAAAAGTATAGAATTATATATCAGATTGCACAGATGTGCAGGCTGGCCTGGCTCTATACTGGTGTTAATATAAATATATCATGGTTTAAGCATATTAAACAATTTATCTCCCTGGAGAGTCTGTGCAGTCTGACCAGGCTCTATACTATTGGCTTCTCAAATTTAAGTAGACTTTTGAAATCCAACTCCAACTGGACACTTCCAAGAATACAAAGTAGGGTTGTAAGTCCTATACCAATCTCAAATGGGTAAGGGTTAAGCAAACTTGTGGTTTTCATTGCACCAACAAAATTTAGGTCCAAAAAGGAATTCTGGCCAACCTCGTGTGTTACAAACTTAAAGCAACACCAGAGTTCATAACCATCTCACCTGCTGGAGCTGGGATATGCTAAGACTCCATTTATTCAAACTCATTTAGTCGCCTCTTACAGGGGGCATAAACAGTGGCTGCAATTCAGATGTTTCAACCCTTAAAGGCAAACCTTAAGCCACAAGGGAAGAAAACTTTTGTTTTGAAAATCACTTACCTTCATACCGTCAATACCAGCAAGGTATCTCCGTTCTACACATCTAAATAATGAACAATTATCAAATACATTCTTCCATGTCTCATTTATCTTCCGTGGTGTGTCGTCATAATAGAGTGTTAAAACGCCTTCCACCAGTTTTTCTCCAGCATCATTTTAGAAAAATTCTCCAAAAAGTTTTTCCACCTTTTCTTAAATAATTATTTCCATAAAATCTATATGTCAAACTTGTTTAACAATATTTAAAAACTATTCCTAAGTCAGTGTGAATGTAAAAATAAGGTGACAATTAAAATGGAAAAAATAAACTAACCTTTTCTTAGGTATCATAAACCAAAATTTAAGTCATTTATCATTGGAAGGGTATGATATTTTTGTGGCCGTTACCATTTTTTTAAAAAAATGTTTTGGCAAAAAAAGTCTGTACTTACAAAGTCTACCTCCAGGAACAAGAACTCTATGTATTTCAGTCAAACTTTCTTTGTTTGCAAACCAGTGAAAGCATTGAGCACAAATGATATTCTGAAATATATAAAAACTTACTTACACACTCCTATATGTAAGTACAATGTACATTATTGCACAAAATCAAACAAGTCCAATGAAAGAATAACACAGAGCTATATTAAGAGGGAGAGGAAGCTATGACATCATACACTTCAAATCTGAATCAGGGATTGATTATCCTGCAAGTTCACATTTTTGTGAGATTTCCCAAGACTGTCTTTAACATAGCAAATTTACCATGTAATCTGAAATTTGTTACAGTAATCGAAAGAAGTGACGAAAAAGTAGTTGCAAAACAAAAAGGAATAAAAAAAGATTACGAAGTGGAAAATATTTGATAATGGATGAAAATGTAAACACATTCAGTTAAAGTAAAACAAAATAGCAAAAATTGATTGACTAGAAGGGAATCTCATGCAAGGGATTGTGGGTCTGGACATGAAAATGTTCTATTTTTAGAGCTTCTTATCCCTCTATAATATATTTGTCTTTGAGAAGAAATGATAAAGCCACCCTCATGCTTCCATTCCTTTCTTCCACCTTGTAGAATGTGTTAAAAAACATTTACAATTTGACCTTGATTTATGTAACCACAGTTATGCAAGTCAAACAAGCATATTGAGAGAAATGATATACTCTCGTTTCTGCCCCCATTCCTTTCTTCCGTCCTATAGAATGTGCCTATACTCAGCTGATATGTGTAACTGTTAAACAAGAAATCATGACATTATTCTGCTATTCAGGGATTTTTTTTTTAAATTTTAAGTCCTAAGTAAAGCCTACATTTTTACACTAGCTTTTTAAATGATTTATTTGCATATGCAGAAGTCAGCAGTTACTATACAAAAAATTTGAAGATATTCAGAAAGAGTAATTTCAGGACTTGATTCTGTTCAATACACTTTTCCCAAAAATCCAAACTTACACTAGCTCTTTACTATCCAAATTCAGCAATTTTAACATTAATTCTTCTCAAAATCAAAAGGCTAAGACTGCTTCCCAATCAAAAAGGAAGAACCATTGACTTAATTTACAACATACCTGTACAGAATTTTCAGGAAAGGGTAATTTTGTGGCTGAACAGATTAGGGTATCGACACTAGGTGAGCGCTGTTTTAATACTGATAAAAATTCATCTGATGGCTCTGTTGCTAAATATCGTATTTTCTGAAGAAAAAAGAAAGATGACAAGAAATGAGCCGCGTCACGACAAAACCAACGTAATGCGTTTGCGACCAGCATGGATCCAGACCAGCCTGCGCATCTGCGCAGTCTGATCAGGATCCATGCTGTTCGCTATCAGTTTCTCTACTTGTAATAGAGTTTGTAAGTGAACAGCATGGATGCTGACCAGACTGCGCGGATGCACAGGCTGGTCTGGATCCATGTTGGTTGCAAACGCACTATGTTGGTTTTGTCTTGACGCGGCTCAAATCATTTCTGAAAGAATTAACATGTGCTCATAAGACACAAATGTCCCTATCTCTAATCTGTGTGTTTTTATGATGTTATTTTCATGACAATATTTTCATCAAATATACAACATATACAGATCATTAAATCTAATGTGCTCTCATTATAAATACATAAATAAAGGTTTGAACAATTTGAAAGGGGTAACACTCCTGATGAGTAGATAAATTTCAAAAATCTATCTGAATTTTTTTTTTTTTTTTAAATGTATAAATATTCACAATTGAAGTGAAACCTTATATGGTGTAGGCACAATATCATAAATTTGTATCACCATATTACTACCTATTAGCCATCAGTTTAAAGTTGCATCCTCCAGATGAGCCGAAATATTTTAAGAAAATCAAACTTGAGAAAAAATGCATTAAGATTTTAAGAAAAGTAAAAAGGTTCAAAATTCAACTAATAATTTACATGTCATATGCAGTTTATGACTGATTTTGCAGTATTTATCACCATATTTTCTGTTCATGACTAACTGGAGATAACACAGTAGTGGCTACTATTGCAGACAATGCAGGACAATATTTGGTGATTTACTAAGATTAAAAGTGCAGTTTGCAATGTGTAAATTATTTTCTTTGTCCACTTGGCAATATGTTTTCAAACTTTCAAACTTTTCACAAAAATTAACATGAAACTGGAGGCATGCTGGTTTAAAGTAAGTTCTGAAATTTATCTGTTCATCTTCAGGCATGCAGATTTAAACTTTAAACAAGATTGCATTTGAGAAAAATGCTATGCCACCGCATTAATCCTTGTACCTTCAGACAATAAGATTTTTTGATTTTTTTACTATATGTTTATATTGAAAATCAATGACCCCCGGGGCAAAGGCAATTTTGACCCCATTGCTATAATTTAAACAATCTTGCTAGAAGTTCATTTCATAATGTTTCATGCAAAATATCTAACCTCTAGCATTTGTCAATTACTAGAATAGATAAATAGAAGAAATACTAGAAGAAATTTTTTTAAAGTTTTTACTACAAGTCATGTTTAAGTTTTTTTTCCTATATACATATAAGGAAAACCAATGACCCCCGGGGCGGGGCCGATTCTGATCCCAGGGCTATAATTTGAATAATCTTGGTAGAGGTCTACCAGACAATGCCTTATGCAAAATATCTAAGCTCTAGGCCTTTTGGGTCTTTACAAGAAGGTATTTTAAGTTTTTACTATATGTACATATAGTGAAAATCAATGACCCCCGGGGCGGGGCCGATTTTGACCCCAGGGCTATAATTTGAACAATCATGGTAATGGTCTACCAGACAATGCCTTATGCAAAATATCTAAGCTCTAGGCCTTTTGGGTCTTTACAAAAAGGTATATTAAGGTTTTGCTATATGTACATATAGTGAAAATCAATGACCCCCGGGGCGGGGCCGATTTTGACCCCAGGGCTATAATTTGCACAATCTTGGTAGAGGTCTACCAGACAATGCCTTATGCAAATTATCTAAGCTCTAGGCCTTTTGGTTCTTTACAAGAAAGATTTTTTAAATTTATTCTTATAATTCCTTTTGGTTGCCATGGCAACCAGATTTCTGCATGGAATGAAATTCTTTCAACAACTTTGGAAGCCCTTCACCCAAGGATCAATCCTGCCAAGTTTGGTTGAAATTGGACTAGTGGTTTTTCACAAGAAGATTTTTTAAGTTCACTATATAATCTATATAACACACACACACACAAACAAACACACACACAGGTGAATCGCTATATGCCACCGCATCGCAGATGCTGCGGTGGCATAAAAAAAGAATTTTAGATTTTTACTGGCATATCTTTAAACTTCTCCATTATTTTCCTAGTAAACAATCCAGTTCCTGCACCAAGTTCTACAATGTCATATTGTGTGTCTGAAAAAGAAAAATTGAATAATACACATAATAATCACTGTGTACAATAGGAGATACCTATGTGAATTCCAGAACAATAAAAACTTCAATGTTTGCTATATTTATGCTGGGCATCATCAATACGTTATTTGTCATTTTTTTCATTTTGGGAAAATAAAGTTTGAACAAGTTCTTTTGATATATACATGTGCATTGAAATTTGTTTCAAATAGTCTTGTAAACATGACCAATAAGTTCATTACAAGAAAAACACAAATTTCATTAAATATCTGTAAAATAATTTCTTTCTTAACCCTTTACTCCATAGATACGTGTTTTAACGCATATGCGACCAGTGCAGATCCAGATCAGCCTGCACATCCGTGCAGTTTGATCAGGATCTCAACTGTTTCTATTTTATATCCACAAAAGAATTTTTGACTGAAAAGAGAACAGTGGAGATCCTGATCAGACTGCATGGATGTGCAGACTGATCTGGATCTGCACTGGTCACATATGCGTTAAACAGGTATTCATGGGGTAAAGGGTTAAGTAAAAACTGATCAATATACAGTATATTAATATGCTAAGACTTAGCACAGGTGAATGTCGCGAGGCCATGACTTACACTATGCCACGCGACGTTCACCTGTGAGACTTAGTTATTCTTTTTTTTATTAAAATTGTAAAATAAATTTTAAGAATTCAAATTTCATATTGACCGACGATTATAAGTCAAAACTTTACTGGAAAAAGTCAGTAAATTATGGTTAATCTTTCAATATATATTATTTATTCTTAAACCATGTACATGTACATTTGTATTTTTCTTTATCATTTTTTAAATTATCATTAAAAATCAAATAATTAATAAAATCTAATTTGTTACTTTGAATAATTCACCGGCATCTTTACGAATAACAAATAAAATAATATGTTTCAAAGTTAATAGAGTCATATTAAAACCATAAAAATGTACCTTTTTTCACAATTATTGTACATATTTATTGTTTATATCTCGTATAGATAAAATGAAACATATGCTATTGTTGTTGTTGTTTTTTTTTTCGAATTGTATGTTTATGTATAATAATAATCAATATATTTGAGAGTTGATCTATGTTTATTAATTATTGTAACCAAACTAAGTGACAAACATTCATTTTGGAAAAAAGCTTATTTATCTGTAAAATATTTGTTCTGTTCTGTAACGATATCAAACATCTACTCCAAAAACCGGGAGAGATCGGACAATAAACGTGTGATACTTTTCGCCGGTCACTAGTATCACGGTCAAAATAGACCGGGAGAGACCAGAATTACCGATAGGAGTACATCCCTCTATAAATAGATTTTCGAAATATTTAGGTCATCAACTCATCATTCTATTTTAATAACATACCATGATAACCCACTGTGTACTACAAAATGATAAATAAAAAACCGAAGAGACGGAAAAGGTTATTGCATTTGAAAATGAAAAGGTTATTGCATTTGAAAATGTTTGCATTGCGAAATCCTCCAGTTCGCTATTCATTGTAACATATCGCGACATTTAATTAATAATCAAGCACCCTCATACCGATCGGAATGATCGGCTTTTATCATGACCGACTTAAAGGCTCGAGAAGTTGCTGTCACCCTTTCACAAAATCTGATTTCGTTCCATAAAGGGGCGCGCGGACGCCAATAATTAGGTTTTTGAATGGTGATTATCTTCACTATATCACAGTTGGTAGATGACCAACTTATATAACTCAGCCCAAGACAGCTTATTTCATGAAATTGACCGGTTTTCAAACAATTCTATTTGCACAACTCTGGCTAGCTAGGCACATCATTTTAATAATGATTCTGCAGATGATAATTAGTTAATGTCATTTGTCCACAGTTACAATAAAATAAGATTTTTATGGAGAAGTTGGCAGTTACTTGCAATTAGACAGGTCAGTACTGGCGCCCAGTCCTAAATCAATCTTAATGCATTGGCTTTCCATTAAATTGCTGAAATATTACTAAAACTGGTACTCAGCCAATTAGAAAAGGGAGGTAACAAATTGTTCTTTATTCTATATATTACCTTTGTAGTCTCCCTTGTGAAGACTACTGACAACATGTGTAACAAGCTCGTCTGAGTAAGACGGCCTACTTTTATCATAGTGGTCTCCCTGTATGAAAAAAAATTACAATTATAAATCATTTCCAAATATCTTAAATGGATTCTTCCATCTTTTAATCTGGACAATACCAATCATCATTGTTTGGGAAAACTTGGAAAAATGTATAGACTGAATCACTATCAGTGGAGACCATAATCAGATGGCAGAGATGTGGCAGCTGGTCTTGGTTTGCACTGACTACATGGGTATAGTTAGTTGCAGGCTTAAGGTTAAAAAGTCTTAGACTAAGCAGACACAGTTACAGTATATTTGTACACCGTTCCAAGATAAGCATTGTTCTCATATTTTATAACGGTACAGAAACCAACTAAACTGGGTTAGCAATGATAGTGGCTTTGTTTTGGTTACAAACTCTAAGTACAATGTACATATATATTTCTATGATGAAAGAAATTAATTATATTAGAATTAAGTAAACACAACTTTACAGGAATTTTCCTTCATCCTAAACACAATATAAAATATTCATAATGTGGATTAATTTGTCAGATTGTCATTATTTCAAACATGCTTTACGTAGCATGTACATTTTTCACAATGCTTATGAATTCGCATTCAGGCCAATAACAAACTGCAATATAAATATTGAACTTAAAATATAAAAAACCCTTTTGGGCCTCTCTGGCTATATGTTTATGGATGTTAATTTTTAATCACATTTCCCGTTATCCAGCTAGATAAAAAGCTATTTATAATAAAGCTACTCAGCTAGCTTATTGACATTTGGTGATTCTATTAAGATGTCCACTTTTTCCTACAATTATGCAAAGAGTAGCACCCCGAGGTAAATCTGGAAATTCGCAATATGAACTATCAGTGACTCAGTCAAAAATGTGACTTAAAAGCTAACCAAAAGAATTTCATAACAACAACGCACAATATTCATTAAACTTTGATGAAAAAAAAACAGAAACACAAAACAAACAAAATCAAACCTGTTTAAAGCCTTCCTGTGCTGTTTTGTGAACATTTCCACCACTCATGCTTGTAGATTTTGATGACAAACTTCTTGTTGCTACACATTTAAACTTGTGTAGAAAATGTACTAAAGTCTGCCTTCTTAATGTCATTAGATACCTATAAAAATATGCCATGAGAGATAAGTTTTGACCTGTATAAAATGACTAATGTCAAATAATAGCAAATACTTCAGTTTCCTGTGACATCAGTGATTATATTTTGTCTGTCCTTGGGAAAATAGTGGCAATAGTGGCAAGTACCTTTGACAGGGAACAAACAGGACAATGTTACTTAGAACGTAAAAATGAAGATTTTTTTTAAAAAAACTACCAAATCAATACTGAAAGTTTCAGTTGGCTTAATTATGCTAATTGACTTGTACATCATTAATAAATAGTATAATATTGCCCAAAATAGTACAATGGACTAGTAATTTTTGATATCTTTATAATTCTAACTCAATATTAAGTACCCTATATGTGTGTAATTAGGTTAAGTGAAGTTCTTTTTAAATTCTAATTATGATTAACATTACATTATATTAATAAACAGGTCCATGTTTAATTTTAATTCAAGTATTTTGATTGTTAAAAAACTAAAATTGAATAAATAATTTGTAAGTTATCAAAAGATTGGCAGAAATGAGATAAGAAACTAATCTAACCAGTTATCAGAGTGATTTTGTTGGTATAAAAATATTGGGAAAATCACAATGTTAAAAGTACCTGCAGACAGATTTTAAAGTATAGACTTTTGAACATGTCCATGCCTTGATATCTGACAGTCTAAACTCCATTTCTTTAACAAATGGCTATTTTTTTACAACCCTGCCGTGTTTACATTTTCAACAAATCACGATCAAAACTAAATCATTAACTTTTCTTAAAAAATATTTAGTGCGGTTTTAATAACTTTATTTTTATTTTCTCTAAAAAAAATAGTTGGAAACAAAAAACTGACACTTACCTTATTGAGTTACAATTTGACAAAGTTACAATTTGACAATAAATGTCAATTAGTACTTACAAATGTCGTATATGAAATAAAGGGAAATCACTTTATTATCGACTTTTTAAAATATAACTTTCGATTACTTCCCTTGAAAATACATTAAACGGGAAAGATTCGTTGAGTTGAACTGAAGCCTATACTCTGGTTAGGGCCCGAATTTCGACAAATTTGATGGAGTTTTTACCAGCAAATATCGCTCTTGAGCACGGATCATAATTACTATAATATAAATCCGTGTCTTAGCAATAAGCGTATAAACCTTATTACTTGAAGTATAAATGATACAGTACAGGAAAAATCTGCAAACAAGGTTTTTGGTCGCACTCTGGAGATTCGTGGCCGGAATTTTGTATATTTTTGTTTGTCACCAAAGGCAGGACTTTTATATATATATGCATTGTGTTTATTTGGAACTATCTAAACTGTTTTGTGTCCTAGTTATAGGCTTCTGTAATCATACTGATACAACAAATAATTACAAGGCCCAATTTAAAGTTCCTTTATACTACTGAAGTTACTCGTTTGTCCTACGTCACAAATAAAAGGCTGGAAAACGAAGGTCCTTCACTACAAGTTTTTTCGACATGGCTAAAACTTTATAAAATTTAGATCCGAGACCAGATTTTAATACTTTTTTAACTGTAAAGTTTTTATTGTCCAAGACGATATAAGGCTGTTATAACAGTTTGAACAGTTTATTGAAAATGCTGGGCCTCTTAGAGGCATCAGTCACATATACAATAATATACATATAACATATACAATAATATACATATAATATGAAATATTATAAAGAGATATCCACGAAATACTACTAATGTACTACATGGCAAATATAAATCAAAAAGTTACAAACTATGAAAATAAGCTTAGTTATCAGTTACTTATATGCTGATATATTTTTTTTACAGAATATTGCAAGTTTTAACAATAACAATATATAGCTCCGAAACGCCTCTTTTCCGAAGTATACAGGAAGAACTGATAAAGTTCAGTGCTAAGACGACTTACATATGGTATAAAAAGCAACCAACCGTATCTACAGAATGGTGAGAATGCCAATGGCATTGTGAAGCCTGACAAGAATCTATACTGTTTACTTCTCAAGTTTAGCTTCTCACATTGAGACACTTTATTTAAAATAAATAATTTAAGTAAATGATAATGATCAGTTTCAAATTTAAATAAACACAAGTTAATTACACAGAGAATGGACCAATGAAATAACATAAGTCCTTTGATATCTTGTATTCTGTTCACTGCTTTGTTACACGTGGTACATGTACTAGATGTCATTTCTCCAGTTCTTTATTCGCGATATACTATATGTACAACAGGAATCTTTAGACTTTTTCAACGCAGAAATACTCGGATTTCAAAGGCAGATATATAATTTCGTCGTCAGTGAAATGAACATCCAAAACAGCACGAAATTTTCGCTCAGCTTTCAGTTTCTCTTCTATGTCAAGTCGAACTATTACGCTAATCGACATGAAGTGGTTCAACATGAAGTTCTTGTTACCCTGTGGGGGATATAAAAATATTGATATTTTATAAATAAATAATAACACTACTGTGGGTCTCATCTTTTAGCTGTTATCAAGTCATGTTCAATCCTCAGATGTTTAGGGGTGCTTTGATTAATGCATAGATTAGTGATTGTTGGTCAACATTAATGAGGCAGACTTAAAGGGACTCCACTGAGGTTTTTTGACATGATGGGACTGAAAATATTTTTTTTCCAGATAAATGTAGCATTTGATGTAGGTTTAGACCACTAATCTTTGTGCAAAATTTCAGATCATTTGCGCACTTTGTTTTTCCAGATTAATTATTGAAATTGTAAAAAAATGACCCAAAATTAAAAGTGTTTAAACACTTTTTACTCAAATCGGGCTAAGATAAGCATAAAAATACGATTTTCAATTCATTTCAAAGTATATTTCTTAACTATCGTTGCATTTATTTCTGTTTAAAGTGTCCCAGCTCATTTATGTAAGAAATTCAAATGTTATGTTTTTAGGCTTTAAACCTCAGTGGAGTCCCTTTAATGAAACATCTACTGACTAGAATACAAAAACTAATCTACTAAGTGGTTGAAATCGTGTTAGCGCGAGTATGATACAAGTTTGGGTTAGATGACATGAATCAAAAATTTTATTGGACAAAATACTGAAAGCGAAACGAACTAGCTTATAGTGCCAGTGCTTAACTTTGGGGCAGATCACTTATAAAGCTACATACACGTATACTTTTTTGATAATAAAAGATGCACTGAACATACATGTATAATATTTCTGAATCACCGAAACGAAAAAACAGACAGACAGACGGACATTTATATAATTTGACAATAACCTTCATCACGTTACTCCCCACGCTGTCTATATGCTCTACACATCTAAATGTTGGACAATTTTCAAATGCTTTCTTCCAAACGCCCATTATTTTACGTGGCGTACCGTCGTAGTATAACGTCAGTACTTCTTCCATTTTTCTCACCCATCCAATTTCAAAATCTCTGGTAAGCCAGACTAAAACTTGAAAAGGAAATAAACAATAATTTTAAAAACTTAATATAAAATATGAGTAAAAGTATACAGGCAATGAAATACATGTTTAGTGCTTCGTGGAAATATTTCGAAGTAGAGCTACCGGCTTTCTTTTATATATACTAAAGGTTGTATTTTGAAATGTGAAACTGAGATTTTATGTGGTAACATTAATAAATGCATGAAATATTAATAATGATAGCGCAATTAACACTGGAAAGTATCATAAATAAATTTTGACTTATACATGCATTAAGTTACTATAATGGCTCGAACAGTTACATATGCCTTCAACATTATGTTACATATGCCTTCAACATTATTTCTAGATATTTATGACAATTACATGTATTTACAATTGCAACATTTCGGCACTTTTCGTTATAGTAATAACTAATCAGCAAGGTGTCCCGAATGGTATTTTGTTAGTGACCCGTTTGTGAGAAAGAACAGACAATTTTAACATTATTTTCATCTTAAAAGACCGAAGATAAAATAAGTTTTTCAGATGAATTTGAAATATCTATAACAATGTACTTAGTCTCCCTCTCGGAACTAAAACTCTTGCAATTTCTGAAATACTTTCACCTGTGGCAAACCAGTGAAAACACTGAGCGCAAATTACATTCTGAAAGAAGAGATTGTAGCAAGTTTTATAAAGTGTTAATGAAACTAGGGAAGTTAAAAATTCAACATGATGCTCTTTAATTTCACCCTTGACGTATTTTTTTAGTAATATTTTTATCCAGTAATATAATTACTGTATATTGGCATCCTTAAGTGAAACTGCATTAGTTTATTTTTACACGAACACTTGGGATTTAGAGCTCCAAAACCACCGTAAAATCCGAATAAATTGTAAATTACTCAATCCCAGCACATACACCTATCATGTGTATCAATTAAACCTAATGTACGCAGTTTTGAAAAAAATCATGTCAAATTTGGATTTTAAAGGCGCATGGAGGTTTACACCCCAAGTGTCTGTGCCTAGGACCGTTAAAGCTTGAAAGTCGCTATAAGACATTGCCAGTAACGATGTGATTTTAATCTCTTATTCAAATGTTCAAAAAATCTTATGAGAATATCCTTCTTCATAATATGCACCCAGGATAAAACATATATAGCTATGAATCATCAAGGTCTCACCATTGCATGGCATGTTTTAAGTTGTCAGATGTCTTTCAAAACAATGATAGATTTCCGGCATGTAACGGGGCAATAAAAAACCTCAATAAAAAAAATATAAAATGCCATATTATATATATTGTATTATAAAGCCGTATAATATAAGTAGCATTTTTTGTAATATAACAAAACTGTCCAATACTCTCAATACCTGTATAGAACATGACGGCAATGGTATGCTCGAAGCCGAGCACACACTGGTTGTCAGTTCAGGTGTCTGTTGTCTAAGAACTGATAGGAAATCTTCCAGGGGATCCGTTGCTAAATAACGCTGAAGCTGAAACTAAAGTGAAAAAGTAAAACATTATTGAGAGAAAACAAATTAAAAATTGAACTTGAAATTAAACAGGCCATGTCATGCATTATCTTAGCGATGCGTTACTTAGGCAGGTAAAAACATTTAACATTTTGGGGTCGGTCCTCGGCTGGGTACCGTAATGCCAAGAACACCCGGCTGAGCAATGCCAAGGAACACCCGGCTTGGTAATGCCTAGGAATGCCCGGCTTGGCAATGTAGCTAACTAGTTTCACGCTTAGTATTTACAAAACAGCCTACCAATTGGTCAGTCCGCAATCGGTATGAGCTGATCGAATTTGATATTACAGGGAACGCACTGTAAAGTTGGATATTACAGTGAAGGCACTGTAAAGTTTGATATTACAGTGAAGGCTCTGTAAAGTTTGATATTTCAGTGAAGTCACTGTAAAGTTTGATATTACAGTGAAGGCATTGTAAAGTTGGATATTTCAGTGAAGTCACTGTAAAGTTTGATATTTCAGTGAAGGCACTGTAAAGTTGGATATTACAGTGAAGGCACTGTAAAGTTGGATATTTCAGTGAAGGATATGTAAAGTTTGATATTACAGTGAAGGCACTGTAAAGTTTGATATTTCAGTGAAGGCACTGTAAAGTTTGATATTTCAGTGACGGCACTGTAAAGTTTGATATTTCAGTGACGGCACTGTAAAGTTTGATATTTCAGTGACGGCACTGTCAAGTTTGATATTTCAGTGAAGGCACTGTAAAGTTTGATATTACAGTGACGGCACTGTAAAGTTGAACAATCTACTCACAGCTACAAGTAGAAACCGTCTCTATAAAGATTATGGTGATACAAGTAAACGCAATTGTTTAAATTATAATTATAATTTTAGATAGAATAAAGCATAAATTTATCAATATTGCTTTATTGCGATACAAATCTAAATGTTTACTGTTTGCTTTTTTTATTTTTTTTTTAATTTTACTCCGACCCAATCATACACATCTGGATTACGAACTATTTGGAAACGAATAAATAAAACTCAGGTCAGTATGAATACATTGTACTTACATTTGTTAACTTATCCAGTATTTTTCTTGTGAACTTGCCAGTACCTGCTCCCAGCTCTAGAATATCGTAATCCGTATCTACAAAATGACAACAATCATTTGAGATTAAAACGATAAAACAACAATACATGCAACAAAAATGCTGGCAGACATGTTAAACAGTTTGCTTGTTTTACCTAGAGATGACCAAGCGTCATACATTTTCATTCCTATTAGATTAATGTAGGCCTTAGTAATCCCAGAAATTCAAAAAAGTATTGCTTTCTCCCAGACTTTTCATGTTTGCATATGATGTCTATGACCAATAAGTCAGCTGCCACCGCTTATTGTTTCAATATCACCAGGAACATGCGTGTATAATTCTTTGTTTTGAACCTTTCAGCTTGTTTAGAAGCTATGCTTTGTGGTAAAGATGTTTTTATCCTAGCTTGTATAATACTAAGGTTCCATATTGAGGGGGTAAGTGAGGTCTTCCTCAACAAGCAAAAGATGTCATTTGATTTTGCTAGCTTAATAACTGAGTCAAAACCAGTTTTGTTTTAGGAATGTACGTGTAGGTCTATTCTGAAAGAACTTATATTAGTTTTTTTAGAAAGACTTTGATGGGTCTTTAGCAAGTGATTTGTTTTGAGTAAATTGTTTTAAACTTCATGTGAAAAGTCGATTTCATAAAACGTATGCAAACAATGCCTGATCACTTAAAATCATTTTGAAGTGTAAAATACGCCGAGAGCAATTAAACCGAAATCAAATAAGTGAATATCGTAGACTCCGTTCATTAGAGACAAATCACGACCTGTATGAAAATATATTACCGTGTCGTTCGGTGTAGAGATTCTCTATAACATGTGAAACAAACTCGTCCGTATATTCCGGTCTATACTTTTCATAAACAGTCCCCTGTATAATGTTAAAATATATACATAATTATTTAACAAATATTTATATAAAACCTTTTAGTGACAAACTCTTTTAGAAAATCAAAAGTTTTTTAACAGAAAAATGAGCCGTAACCAAATGCCTCTGATTAGATTTGAGATGTCCGACGCTCCAAAATGAGCTGAAATGATGTCATATTTTGAAAGTGAACATGTATATCAAGTTAAAAGTGAATAACTTTGATGTTTCCCGAAAAATGGACGTTAACAAAAAGGTTCACCAGGGCTAAAAAATCTTAGTTGAAAAAGAGGCTTAACTTTAAAAAGTTAACTTTAAGATTATCTGCCTTTTTTGAGATGGCATTCTTTTACGACAAGAAAAATATATACCAAGATTGAAATGAAAAGCATTTCCGAGAAAAAAATAGCCCTGAACGGAAAGGTTTACCAACGCCGACGAGAGCGGGACATTTCTTCGAAAGTTATGATTGTACTTTTTGTTATTTCATATAGATAACACACTCACCGTGTATATTCAGTAACGCTGGAATGTGAAAATAACGCACGATTCGTGCAATAAGTAACGCAGAATTGTTTAAAAAATGGCGTGCAAATAATCTTGATTAGGGAAGAAGAGTTATGTCTTCGCAGCCGTATGCGGCTATTGTTTTTTTTTTCTGTTCGGTTAGATAAAAAAATATATTGGCCAGTTTACTAACCGCGTTGGAAATCCTGTCAGGTATCCGCCATTTATTGCACAATTCTGCGTTACTTATTGCACAAATCCTGCGTTATTTTCACATTCCGGCTATACTGGATATACACGGTGACACTAGCCATATACAGCTTGTCTTACCTCTTTAAATCCCTCTACAGCAGTTCGGTGTACTTCACCTCTCTTTAGCATTGACATTTTGATTGTCTCGGTAAGATCTAAATATCAATCAGAAAATGTGCTTTCGATATACAGTAAAGAATTCATAAATATCTAAATGCCATAAAATTTCATTTATAAATGAATATATGAATTGAGGGATATTGGTATATTTGTGATGCAATGAAAAGCAAAACAGTGCCTTGTTTTCCAGCACACGGGAAAGTTTGCTTTCGGCTGACAAATGCCCTATTAATATTTTTGTCTATATCTACAACTTCACCGAGTCTCCTATCGATATTTTTTCCAAATCTATAACATCATTAAGTCTCCTATCGATTTCCCATTCCAAACCAATAACTGCAATGAGTTTCTTATCAAATTCTCTTTCCAACCCTATAACTGCAATGAGTTTCTTATCGAATTCCCTTTCCAACCATTTAACTGCAATGAGTTTCTTATCGAATTCCCTTTCCAACCCTATAACTGCAATGAGTTTTTTTTTTATCGAATTCCTTTCCAACACTATAACTGCAATGAGTTTCTTATCGAATTCCCTTTCCAGACCTATATAACTGCAATAAGTTTCTTCTCGAATTCCCAATCCTATGACCGCAATGAATTTCTTATCGAATTCTCTTTCCAATCTTATAACTGCAATGCATTTCTTTCCGAATTCCTTTCCAACACTATAACTGCAATGAGTTTCTTATCGAATTTTCTTTCCATCCCTATGACTGCAATGCTTTTCTTTTAGAATTCCCTTTCCAACCCTATAACTGCAATGCGCATTTCTTATCGAATTCCCTTTCCAACCCTATAAATGCAATGCGTTTCTTTTCGAATTCCCTTCAGCCCTATAACTGCAATGCGTTTCTTATCATTTTACCTTTCTAAATCTACTTCATTGAGTCTCCTATTGATTTCTCTTTCCAAATTGATTACTTCACTGATTCGACATTTCTTTCCAATTGAGTCCCCTTTTAATTTCCCTTTCCAAACCTATTTTTTCATTGAGACTTCTGTTTATTTCTTTACATAAGCTATTTCTTCATCGAGTCTCCATTCTATTTCCCTTTCCAAACCTTCATCTGTTTGATTGGGTTTTATGTTACACTGACAAAGTATAGGTCATATGGTGACGTTCCAGCTTTACTGGTGGAGGAAGACCTCAGGTGCCCGTTTGTGCCTGAAATAATGTTCCGTAAGCGTGTTGGATAGCTTCCTTACCTGAAAGTATCCAAGGTCCATTTTGGGATTCGAACCCACAGCGGTGAGGGGCAAGTGGTTTGAAGTCAAAGACCTTATCAAAACCTTTAACTTCATTTAGTATTCTGTTGGTTCCCCTGTCTAAAGTTACAACTTTATTGAGACTCCTATCAGTTTCCCTTTCATAACCTATTAGTTCATTGCATCAACTGATTTCCCTTTCAAACCCTACTCTTTCATTGAATCAACTTTTGGTTTCAAGAAATATTAAAAATCACTTCCTTTCAAAATTCTTGAAGTTTTAATAAAAACAACTTGATTCTAGTAGTTTTCCTTAGAATCCTGTGAGTACTGAAGTTTATAATGCTATACCCTGAAACTCGTTTTGGTTTATATGACCACCAACACTATTCATTTTATAAAAAACAGGTATTTGTATCACCTTGTATCCACTGTTTCCAGTAGTATGTATTGGTTATCATACCATTCAATTTATAACAACTTTGATAATTTATGCGAAAATACACAATGTATATGTTATCTTGAAACGTAATATTTTATATTAAAAACTTACCTTTCAAATATTACACCTTTTTATTTACCAAACTTTAACCAAACTTTATACCATACAAAAACATTCTAGTACTAAATACGAATACAAAAACAAATTTATACAACCTGCTTTCAATGTTTCCCACGCATCAACCGAAGAATCTTAACAATAACAACAACAACAACAATTGAGGTTTTATATATTTTTTTTTATTTTCAAGTGGTAACAAAAATAGTTGGAGGTTAACAATAACAACAATACACATTTCTATTGGATAAAATTTTCCTTAAATCCTGCTGATTTTCATAAATGGGTGTGTCCAACTTCCATTTTTGGAACATTCCATTATCAGTTTTGGGTATATCAAGATGAAAAAGAAACCTGAAGTTCGTCGGCAAAGATGTGCAGGCTGGTTTGGCTCTATACTTGTGTCAAAGACACTCTTCAAAAATGTAAATTTTAGCATTTTAGATAAGGGTTAACTTATTAAAACATAAAGCAAAAAGTTCATAACTGATCATACTTTCATTTTCTCTTCTTCAAATTAAGGAAATAAACAATAAAGTATGATGATGAATAAGAAAAAATAAACTTTACTAACCAGGAAATATATTAACAGCAGCTTGTTAACTTTATACTTCAAAAAAGGTGACTAGTTTTCTTTCCCTCAAATACTGATCCTTTCATCCCCTCTATTTGTGCAATATCTGGTTAACTCCTATTAAAGGTGCACGCCTCCAGATGAGCCAAAATATTTCAAGAAAATCAATATTTAGAAAAATGTACTAAAATTTTAAGAAAGGTAAAAATTTTGAAGATCCAAGTTATATTTTACATGTTATGTGCGGTTTAAGACTGATTTTGCAGTATTTAATCACCTTATTTATACTGCATTACTAACGCAGTATGGGCTGTTTTTGCATATGTGGACCACTTTTTGGTAATTTTCTTGGATTGTAAGTGCCGATTGCAATATGCAAATTACTTTTTTTGTTCACCTCACAATATTTTACTTTTAAATACATTTCCAAAATTTTCATGAAAATAAACATGAATCTGGAGGCGTGCTGCTTTAAATTTAGAAGGACTTGACCTATTACTGCACTAAGGTGACGATTTGTGAATCTGTCTACATGACTTGTGGCACAATCAAAACTAGTACACATAATTAAAATATATTTTTGAGAGATGACCCAATACCATCATTAAAAATATATGTATAAAAAATTGTAGTACATGTACTATTTACTATGTAATTACAAATAATCCTTCAAGAGAAAAAAACAAACAAAACCTTAGTACTTTATTTTTACTCAAGAATTTATCGACGCTTCTGCTTAAAAGGATTAAGATGCTCACAAATACATGTAAATGTACTGTGATGTTGTCCAAGTTTATCCAAATTAAAGTTTTCCCGAAATTTATAAATAAAAAAAGATTTTAAGTTTCAGTATCTATTAAAAGAAATTTCTCACTTCCTGAATCTATTTAAAGTGCAGTCTCACTTCTGAAGTATGTGTGAAATTTGAGTCCGTGAAATTTGGTGAAAAATGAAAATAAAATGCAGGGGGCGTTAATTTACAGCTTAATTGTTGCTATTATCCACTGTTACATTATATTACATTTGGCTTCAGAGCTTTTAAGCAAAGTTTTCTAAATAATTTACTATACTTTGCAATAATAAATAAACAAGATATGTTTGTAAAACATGTATGCCCCCTATCAGCAGCCAATTATTCATGTGATAAGGTAATTATGCATGACTTCTGACCCAGTGATCAAACAATTAATAAGGGTTATCAAGTATCTACTGGTCATGACCTTGACCTTTGACCCCTTGACCCAAAACTCAATAGGGGTCATCTGCTGGTCAAGACCTATCATCATACAAAGTTTGAAGTTCCTAGGCCTAAGGGTTCTTTAGTTATTGATCGGAAACTGTTTTTACCTAAGAGGTCAATGTGACCTTGACCTTTGACCCCTTGACCCCAAAATCAATAGGGGTCATCTACTGATCATGACCAATCACCATATCAAGTTTGAAGTCCCTAGGCCTAAGGGTTCTTTCGTTATTGATCGGAAACCGTTTTTACCTACAAGGTCAATGTGACCTTGACCTTTGACCCCTTGACCCCAAAATTAATAGGGGTCATCTACTGATCATGACCAATCACCATATCAAGTTTGAAGTCCCTAGGCCTAAGGGTTCTTTCGTTATTGATCGGAAACCGTTTTTACCTACAAGGTCAATGTGACCTTGACCTTTGACCACTTAACCCCAAAATCAATAGGGGTCATCTCCTGGTCATAACCAATCACCATACCAAGTTTGAAGTTCCTAGGCCTAAGGGTTCTTTTGTTATTGATCGGAAACCGTTTTTGCTTACAAGGTCAATGTGACCTTGACCTTTGACCCCTTGACCCCAAAATCAATAGGGGTCATCTACTGATCATGACAAATCACCATACCAAGTTTGAAGTTCCTAGGCCTTAAGGTTCTTTAGTTATTGATCGGAAACCGTTTTTGCTTACAAGGTCAATGTGACCTTGACCTTTGACCCCTTGACCCCAAAATCAATAGGGGTCATCTACTTGTCATGACCAATCACCATACCAAGTTTGAAGTTCCTAGGCCTAAGGGTTCTGTAGTAATCACTCGGAAACCATTTGGTCGACGGACCGACGGACCGACAAGTGCAAAGCAATATACCCCCTTTTCTTCGAAATGGGGGCATAAAAATTACAACATACCTGTTTATTTATTAAGAAATAAAAATTATTCCATAAGCAAATTTAGCTGCTTTTATGAATTGAGGATAAAAATTTCAAGTAAATTTTATGCTAAAAATTCTTACATATTTTGACGAAAAATAAAACGATAATCATATCTGCCCTGAGAGATTTTAACATTTATATTTTTTTATCATAATCTAAACATGAAGACACCACAAGTTATTTTCAAAAGACAAAATTTTACAACCCAAAACAAAACAAATTTGATATATACATATGTATTTGGTCTCTAATTATTATATGTTTAATTTGTAATTTTAGACACTTCTATGACACAATTAGCCAAAAATAAAAGCCTTCAAAAAAATCGAAACGAAGGCTTTACGTTTTTGTGTTAAATGATATCTCATACAGTTACAATCTACAAATTTAAATCTTACTTCAACTACTATATTAAAACAGCATGGTTTTCACATGTTTAATGTCATGGTTCAATTAAAAGTATCTTGAGACAGATTTTCATGATATATATCAAATAAGGATATAACATATTAAGGGTTTACTGCAAAACTGCAGTATCTTATATGAAATAAAGGACTTACAACAGTGGTCAACCCTCAAAGTATGTAAAATATCCTTAGCATGACAGGTTATAACAGCTTCCAGAAAAAAAGATCTAATAATCTATTGAAATGTTTCGTCACTTTATTATTCACTCTTCAGCATTCTTATGACTGTGAAATACAACAACAACAACAGGTTTGAGGCTCATTCTTTACAGAAGATGTCAGAGTTTGAACTTTTCAATTGATTTATGTCTATCTTCTGATATCGCTTATACAACAGTTTAAGACACTTAATCTATTATTTATGTTTTTTACTTACTTTCAGACTTTCTTAAAATACCATAAAATCCAGCTGAATATTGTCGAGACACTGATTGGTTACTTCCTTAACATAAAATTTGAAACTGGCCAATAAAATTGTAGCATCTGTCAAAATTTGAAACTGGCCAATGAAATTATAGCATTTGTAAAAATTTGAAACTAACTGATGAAACTGTAGCATTTGTTTTTTTTTAAATTAGAAACATGTGAATGATTATCATTTAAGATAAACACTGTCGTATTGCACAAATGTCATCGTAGCATACCACAAAGGTCATCATGGCATACCACAAAGGTCATCATGGCATACCAGAAAGATCAACATGGCATACCAGAAAGGTCAACATTGCATACCAGAAAGGGCATCATGATATGCCACAAAGGTCATCATGGCATACCATAAATGTTATCATGGCATACCAGAAAGGTCATCATGGCATACCACAAAGGTCATCATGGCATACCAGAAAGGTAAACATGGCATACCAGAAAGGTCAACATGATATACCAGAAAGGTCATCATAATATACCACAAAGGTCATCATGGCATACCATAAATGTTATCATGGCATACCAGAACGGTCATCATGTCATACCAGAAAGTTCATTGTGGCATATTATGAAGGTCATTATGACATACCAGAAAGGTCATTATGACTTTCCAAAAATTTAATGTCATCATGACATACATAACACAATATCATTGTGGTATACCACAATATCACCAGATGTAGAGTTCGCTATCATTTATAACAGTAACCTAAGTAAAGATAATACTATACTCTATACTAATAATAAATATGTATGAGTATTTACACACTTATATGTCATACATAGAGAGTACATGATAAATAAAGTTACACAAAAGGTCATATATGAATGCCCTTTTCCCTATATGTGTATTATAAACTTACAATATTAACATAAATTCAATTACACCAATTTTTTTAATTTACATAATTTCAATAAATTCAATTATTTCTATACACAATGATAAAAAAAGAAGAAAAAATGGGCAAAAAAATGTCAACTTACAATTGAACCAAAAAAACAAAATACAAGTTTAATACATGTACACAAAGAATGGAAAATAGCCTTAAGTTCAAATCAGTGATACACAGGAATGCTTCTTTCATTACAAAAAATTGTATACATGAAAATTACATAAAATTGTTATACATGTATATACCAACAGGGCGAGCATAGTATCCTCAAGGTATTAACATTAACAATTATATGAATAATAATAAAAGTAAATGAGTAACCGAAAATCATAATAATGGCTTTTACGTGATATTTTTGTATATGTGCATTTTAGCCAAAAAAAATTCCTCACTAATATGAAACCACCACATTTTCAAACATGAAACCACCACATTTTTTGACAAATTGTTTCTGAACTTGTGATCCCAACAGCAACAAGTGACAGTCGCAACAAACAGTGTTTTGCACAAAACAAATCTAATGCCACATAGAATAAAATATCTTGCATAAGGCCTGTACGTTTTTTCCTACAGCATTGCAAACAATTTGTGTTTTAAGATAAAAATTTGTAATTGAGTATAAACCTCCGTTTTCCAATTGAATTAACTTTCCTTGATTATAAGAACAACAAGTTTTCTCCAATAATATTTTGAAAGTTCCAAAATACCAATACAATTAACAAACATGGACACACAAAAGATTACCTTAACCCGCTGAATTTGTGTAATGGTTTTGCCCTGATTTAAATTTGGAACAGTCCATCCCAAATTTGAGAGATTTCAGTATCAAAATACAAAAAGGCTACCATTATTTACAGAGCCTGGCCAGACTGCATGGTTGTGCAGACTGGCCTGGCTCTGTACTTGCAACAAGGGCTAATCAAAAGTTCAAGCAAGTTAAGAGTTAACAGTCTAAAGAATTACCACAGAAACATATTACATTTTGGCTGAGTATTATAGTATATAAAAAGAGAGTGATGAAAAACTTGAGCAAATTTTTCTCTCTCTTTCAATATCATTTCTATAAAGATCTGAGTTTTCATCAATACAAATGGTGATTATACTGCAAAGGGAGAAAACTCAGATTATTAGTATTGAAACAAAAAAGTTTCACAAAAGAAACATATTAACCTCCCTTTGTTTAGATATTTGTTTTGCTTAAGGACACCATTACAACATCTGACATCTAAGCACAATTTAAAATTATAAACAACTAGGAAAACGAAACAAAATGTGAAAAATAAATTCATTTCCTCAAAAGTAGAATCTAATTAGCACTTTAATCTATGAAAACTCTATGACTTCTTTGAACATGTAATCTTTCACTGAATAAAACCATTTTTCTGCTTAACAATTTCTATATGCACACTTAAATATTCAAAATTTCTGAAAATATTTGCAACAACCTTGTTTCAGTTATTTACTGCTGGTGAATTTTTTTTTCTATCCAGGAAGCTTGCAAAAACTTGTTCATGAGATAAAATTTTATGATAACATAAAATCCTTTACAATGACCCGAAAAGTGGGGCCCGAAAAGTGGAACAAAACTATGGATATAATTAATGAATCGTTTGGCAAAAGATCATGATTCTGTTGGATTACTTATACTCTTAAAACTTAAGTGAAAAAACTTTGAATAATGACCTGTGTAATTATGATCTCCAAAAAAGCAATGAAAAATAACCAAACAAGCACCAAAGAATTGTTTGTGTTGAATGTTTTGTTTTTTATACAAATATTTTGTGAAATAACAGTGATAATGACTTCTAACAAACACCCTAGCCCACACCTTCAATGATTCATTTCTTTATTTTTTTTTTGTCTTTTATTTGTGTGTTGAAAAATAAAACTTTAAATAAACATTGCTTGAAAAACTACACATATACAAATACTTTCATCTGATAATAAACAAACGAAAACAAATTTCTTTAAGGTAAAAGTATACTGAATTCCTGTTCTTTGCATTTATCTATACTTTTTCTGTGCCTGAACTTTATTCTCCATCTGCATCATATATTTCCTATATAGTACACAAAAAATCAATAATTCTTGTCTATTCAATACATGACAAATTAGTAATTCTTTTTTGTTCAGTATATGAAAAATCATTATTTCTTTTCAGAACAGTAAACATACAATAAATCTTTTTTTGTATTCAAATAATTTCTTTAATGACTATTAAAATTTGGACTGTATGTTAAATGAAAAATTAAAATCATTCGTTTTGGAAGTTTAAATGCCATTTTGTCAATGATTGTATATAGAACATGTCTCCTCTTTCAATAATGATTCTAATCCCTTAATTAATGAATGACAATTTCTATGCATAATTATACCAAAGTTTTGACATTATTTTTTTTTTAAAGAGATTCATTTTTTTCCATCACATTTTCAATACAAGTTTTCATCCATAAACTTGGGCTGAATTCATAACATTTCAAAATTTTCAAGTAAAATCATAGCGAAAACTTGTTATCTAATAATTTTTCAGTATGGTAGAAATCAACTTGTAACTGATCAAAACTAAACAGTAAAATCATCTTTACTTGTCAATACATCACATTATTGGCTACAGGTTTTTTCCTTAATTCATTTCTGTATAATTTGTTTCTTTAAATATTGACTAGATAAATAGAATATTTAAATCGAGACTTGTAAAAGCATCATTATACCATATCCTTCTAATTTTTACAAGTGAAAAAGCATTTCTACACCAGCTTAGAGATACTAAATACAGAAAGGCTTCCCACTTCTTTGTGTATAGTGACAAAATAACGAGACAAGTTAGAATATAGACTTTACACATATGTACAAGTAGATATGAATGTTTCATTACACAAATGCCTTATCACCTGAACGACCTCCTGTACATGTTTGTTAATCCCCTATCCATCACCATTAATGTATCAATGAAATCACAAACTGTGGAAATTCCCATATCTATAAATAGCTATCCTAACACAATATAGATTTTCCAATATCTATAAATAACTTTCGACCTTAACACACATACAATATCTCTGCAACTGTGTAGTGCTGTACAGGAAAACTGTGTCACCATTCTATGCAATTTGTGATAATTTATAATACATAATTTATTATAGATATTATTGGTCCATATAGAAATAACATAATGTTATTTACACAGCACTTCTCCTCAGAAATGTTTTATATTGCGAAAGGTGAAACAATCCATCTTAAAACATTAAATTGGGTCCATGAAACTCTCTTTTTTCATTTTGCCCTAAGACGTTCCACTATTAAATAACTCATCAAAGTTATCTAACAGCAAAAGGGCAAATGTATTAACATGTCCCATTGTATTGAGCGACGCCTGACCCTTCGGCCAGATCAGGTTTGGTCCGAAACAAATTGCTAAGTTTGTTGTGGTCATCTTATTCTTGTCAGAATGGGCGGCGACCTGAAATAATAGAATAAATAGTATTTGTTATTTCACATGACACAGTTTGTTATGCTTGTATCAAAAACATTCTGACGAGTGTGCCTTATAAACACCATTCAAACATGACAAAAAAGTCTTTATTTTTTTGGTCAGGTGTTTTGTTGCACCAACACAGTATAGGTCATTTGGCGTTTTTCTTGCTTTTCTGGTGGAGGAAGACCTCAGGTGCCCTTTCATGCATTATATCCGGCACAAACATGCATCTAAGTAGAACCACAGACATTTCATAAGCTAGCTGAATAGCTTCATCAAATGAAAAATCCAAAATCCCTTTTGGGATTTGAACCCACAGCAGTGGAGGCCAAGTGGTTTAAAGTAAACCATTTTAACCATTTGGTCACTGACGTCCCTCTGAAATAAAAAATGAATGTAACAGTATACTCAAGTGATTTTTTTTGCTACAGATACTGTCACTATTTCAAGGTGGTATTTAGTATAGACTTGACTGCATCAGTTAAAACTCTTATCATATTTGATATAGGGATACTTCACACTTTCCTTGTACTGGTATAGGAAAAGTCCGGCACTTAAGACGGCAGTTTCACAAATCAAAATTGTTTGGTTTTCTTCCAAACAACATGGCAGAATAACCAAAATTAACATTTGTGAACCTCATATTATTTTACAGCTTATGTTAATTTCAATATAACATGTATTACATTATTATTGATAAAGATACCTACTAAAGGGGAAATCAGTTATAAAACCAAACAAAATCAAACATTGAAAACTCACTGTTTGGTCAATTGCAAATAGTAAAGACTACGTGGATAATGTCACAGAAATTGTGATATATATATAGCACATTATAAGATGTAGATCTATTGGAATAAGAAAATACCTCTGAAAGAAGATCCAGGATATATTTCAGTACAGTGTAGTTATCCTCTGGTAACTCTTCCGTCAACATTCTCTTTGCCTGTAAAATCTGCTCTTCTTTCTCTTGACCTACAGCCATATAAAATTCAATATTCAAATAAACCATCTCTACTGGCATGCGAGCAGTTCCCGTACAGAAGCAGTACCCGTATTTTTCATTTAAACGCTTGATTTTTACTTGCATTCTTCAAAAATTCATTTCAAATCAAGCAGATACATAAACGAGACAAAATCTAAGTGTCAGTTCGGCAGTACGTATATAAAGTCTCATTTTAAATCACTTTCACCTGTGCGTCGTCAAAACGTGACCTTGTTTTCTCTGGGGGATTCCGTCCTTGCGCACATGCGCAAAAATACTTACACGTGAGGCTTGTTAAAGGGTTTTCCACTAATACCACCTGTTTACAAATAAGTAGGCAATGTGATGAAAACTTGTTTAATTATCAGAATGTTGACCAATATTACTATATATAACAAGATATGTTTGTAAAACATGTATGCCCCCTATCAGCAGCCAATTAGTCATGTGATAAGGTTATTATGCATGACTTCTGACCCAGTGATCAAACAATTAATAAGGGTTATCAAGTATCTACTGGTCATGACCTTAACCTTTGACCCCTTGACCCAAAACTCAATAGGGGTCATCTGCTGGTCACGACCAATCATCATACAAAGTTTGAAGTTCCTAGGCCTAAGCGTTTTTAGTTAATTGATCAGAAACTGTTTTTACCTACAAGGTCAATGTGACCTTAACCTTTGACCCCTTGACCCCAAAATCAATAGGTCCTCTGCTGGTCATGACCAATCACCATACCAAGTTTGAAGTTCCTAGGCCTAAGGGTTCTTTAGTTATTGATCAGAAAGCGTTTTAACATACAAGGTCAATGTGACCTTGACCTTTGACCCCAAAATCAATAGGGGTCATCTGCTGCTCATGACCAATCACCATGCCAAGTTTGAAGTTCCTAGGCCGAAGGGTTCTTTAGTTATTGATCAGAAACCGTTTTTACTTACAATGTCAATGTGACCTTGACCTTTGACCCCTTGATCCTATAATCAATAGGGGTAATCTGCTGGTCATGACAAATCACCATACCAAGTTTGAAGTTCCTAGGCCTAAGCGTTCTTAAGTTATTGATCAGAAACCGTTTTTACTTACAAGGTCAATGTGACCTTGACCTTTGACCCCTTGACCCAAAACTCAATAGGGGTCATCTGCTGGTCACGACCAATCATCATACAAAGTTTGAAGTTCCTAGGCCTAAGCGTTTTTAGTTAATTGATCGGAAACCGTTTTTACCTACAAGGTCAATGTGACCTTGACCTTTGACCCCTTGACCCCAAAATCAATAGGTCATCTGCTGGACATGACCAATCACCATACCAAGTTTGAAGTTCCTAGGCCTAAGGGTTCTTAAGTTATTGATCGGAAAGCATTTTTACCTACAAGGTCAATGTGACCTTTCCCTTTGACCCCTTAACCCCAATATCAATAGGGGTCATCTGCTGGTCATGACCAATCACCATACCAAGTTTGAAGTTTCTAGGTCTAAGGGTTCTTTAGTTATTGATCGGAAACCGTTTTTACCTAAGAGGTCAATGTGACCTTGACCTTTGACCCATTGACCCCAAAATCAATAGGGGTCATCTACTGATCATGACCAATCACCATATCAAGTTTAAAGTCCCTAGGCCTAAGGGTTCTTTCGTTATTTATCGGAAACTGTTTTTACCCAAGAGGTCAATGTGACCTTGACCTTTGACCCCTTGACCCCAAAATCAATAGGGGTTATCTACTGATCATGACCAATCACCATACCAAGTTTGAAGTTCCTAGGCCTTAAAGTTCTTTAGTTATTGATCGGAAACCGTTTTTGCTTACAAGGTCAATGTGACCTTGACCTTTAACCCCTTGACCCCAAAATCAATAGGGGTCATCTACTGATCATGACCAATCACCGTACCAAGTTTGAAGTTCCTAGGCCTTAAAGTTCTTTAGTTATTGATCGGAAACCGTTTTTGCTTACAAGGTCAATGTGACCTTGACCTTTGACCCCTTGACCCCAAAATCAATAGGGTTCATCTACTGGTCATGACCAATCACCATACCAAGTTTGAAGTTCCTAGGCCTAAGGGTTCTTTAGTTATCACTCGGAAACCATTTGGTCTACGGACCGACGGACCGACGGACCGACAAGTGCAAAGCAATATACCCCCTTTTCTTCGAAATGGGGGCATAATAATTTTATGGCTTTGATGCGTAAAATATCATGCATACAAGCATGCTATTGCTTGTAAATGCGTTGGGGTAACGGTACCGGGTAATAGATACCCGCGTTTAGTCTACGCTCTATATCCTGAATTACATCTATTTATCTTTTAGATAATGGTCTGTTCAACAATTGTAAATGAAAAATAGGTCCGATATAATAAAATTGTATAATTATAATGGGTTAGATTTTATGTACGGGAACTACTTCTCTTCATACAAAATAATGGATAATTTCGGTACCCCATATGAGGCCTCATAACTAAGGGTTATTCTATGTTTAGAACATGATGGAATTTCCATGATTTGTGTGACGAGCTGAATATTGATGTGTAACATTCAAATTTTGGTGAGTGAGCGTAATAAAAAATAATGTTTAAGTAACTATGATTTTTGTACGGGAACTGCTCGCATGCCAGTATAGTCATAGAAATACAAAATGCTAAAAGCAATATGATTTGCCAATTTATGAAGCCAGGTTCCAAGGTTATATAGAAATGTTCTGTGATTGGTCAGAATGCACACTGACCAATGAAAATCAAGAGATTTAAGTCTGGTGTCAGAAAAAAAGGTTTATAAACTTGAAGCCAGATCAAACTACACAGTCTTCTCACTTCCCCTCAGAGCCTGCACATCAGTGAGAAGGCACAGGGTATTAGCTGAAGATTTGAAGACTTGGGATGGCAAAAAAGAGCAGATCTTGAAATTGAACCAGCTGCCCAAGTCCTGACTAATATACCAAGGGGAGTGGCCAAACAAAGTAGGCAGAGTTAACGAGGATGGTGTACTAGTTGGGGTGAGCCCCTACTAAGAATGACTGCTTGAAAAGAGGCTGTTTGCTTGGCACCAACAGCCCTATTAAATTTGTACCATTAAAATGTAATGCATTAAATATGGAACAATCCATTCACAGTTTACGAGATTACGAGAGCGAAAAGGTTTAGCTACAAATGTGCATGTAACCATGTAAAACAGACACTTACCATGAAGCCTTATAATTGGTTCATATAATTCAAATGTCAATATTGGTTCGGATAATTCTCTCAGGAATGTTTTTAACGTCACAGCAGCCGTCGTGACATCGTGAAACTCAGTGAAATCTATTGTCTCTCCATCATTCAATCTTCGCTGCACTTGTTTCAATGTGGACGCATTGGCTGTGCGTCTAAAAATACCCTCTGAGTCTAAGGCTGAAAATCAATAACAGTAATTTAGAATAAGGCTGAAATTATTTAATAAGCTATGACTTTCTAAGGCTAATAAGCATAAGCTTTGATTCTTGACATGAATACATATGTAGTAAAATAAGACTAGGGTATTTCAGTAACTTTCTAATAGTAAAATGATTAATATGGCTACTAAACTGCATGACATTTAAAACTAAAAACTATTTTATCTTGGGGGGTGGAAGTTGGGTTTAATGTTGCAACAACACTGTAAAGATCATATGACAATGTTCAAGCTTTACTGATGGTGGAAGACATCAGATGCCCCTCCATGCATTATCTCAGACAAGAATGGGAGCCTGAGTAGAAACCCCAATGTTCAGTAAACTAGTTGTATGGCTTCCTCACATAAAAGAATCTAAACTCCCTGGAGGAATTCGAAACTGCAGTGTTGAGGGGCAAGTGGTTTGAAGTCAATGACCTTCACCACTCCACCAAGGACACCAGAAGCTATAACTAAATTTCTACATACTAACATTTTTTTACTGCATACTGATATACAGTGTAACTTCCGAAAACCGAACACCCATGGGACTTGTCAAAAAGTTCGGATTTCAGAGGTTTCCGGAATTCAGAGGTTTATGATAATGGGGACAAGACTAAGCCACTTAATATCACTAAATGTCAAGGAAGATGTGGCCATTACTGTAATATCATATATAATAGTCTTTTAATCAAGATGAAGATGTGAATGAAAAGAATACATTTTTATCTTACACCTGCAAATGCTTTTGAATTTCTATCAGTTTGTAGAAATGTTGTTAATTGCATAAACTTACATATCGTCCGATGCTAGTTAATTAATTATTACATCAAATGCAATAAAATCCCTAAAGAGGTTTGATGCATACCTTGTCCCAACTAATTGTGATTTAATCCGCTAATAAACACTTCAAATTAACTGACCACGGTAAATTACTTTGATTAACCGCATCACTTCAAACATACCATTTCACAGTTTGTGATTTTAACGCGTGTCAAATTACACGATCACCGCTAATTAGTAAACAATCGATAGGGAGATTAAATCTTCCTGCAGGGTAAACATTCTCAATTTACAATGTATTTCACACCTTTGGATATTTCCGGTTTTCGGAGGTAAAATTGCATTGATTTGACTCTAATTTTACGAAAATATCGTCCGGAATTCAGAATTTAGAAGTTCCGGAATTCAGAAGTATTATATTAATAGGAAATAGAAGGGAAAAAATCGGGACCGAAAAAATTGTTCGGTTTTTAGAAGTTTCCGGATTTCAGAAGTTCCGGAATTCGGAAGTTACACTGTATACTAAATTTTGATAACTTTTGTATTTCAAAACACTGTGATCCATTATTCTTTAGTATGTAATCCATTTAGTACAGAATACTAAATACTAAACAATTTCGTTTCTATGAGTTGTATATGTTTAATTTCAACAATGAACAATATTTCTAGTTATTTATCTTCATATGTATGTACAGATGTATATATATTATGATTATCAGAATATGAATACTTTAATAGTAACTTATAAATCAAATTTTTCTATTACAGATGAAAGTATTAATATACCATGTACTCTGAGGAACTCTACAGTTTGTTGAACAGCTGGTGGTATAACCTGACCATAATTTGCTTTTATTCTGAAAATAATAATATAAAATCATGAAACTAAGAATTACTCATATTTTTTGGTTAGGTTTTGAGTCACAGAGATACTGTAAAGGTCATATGGCAACTTTCCAGCTTTACTGTTGGAGGACGACACAAGGTGCCCTTTCAGACACCAGGGTAGAACTGTCGATGTTCCCTAAGCTAGATAGTCAGCTTTCTCGCATGAAAGAATCCAAGTCCCTGGCAGTATTTGAACCCATAGCCATGAGGGGCAAGTGGTTTGGAGTTCAAGACCTTAACCATTCGTCCACTGATGCCCCTGGAAACCTTTTTACAATGTATAAGATAAGATAAAATTTAAATTAACCTTTTCCCTTATATAAGCGTGTTTCGACGGCTTTTTGCCCCCCCCCCTTTTTTGACGCCTCAAACAGTGAAAAAATGCCGTATTTAGGCCCCAAACACTGTTTTTCGTTTGAGAAATGTTGTTAAAAGAAGTGACCACTTTTTCGGCGCCATCCCCCATCCAAATATTACATCAGGGGGTTGCCAGAAGGGGGATGTGCCCCCGTCTGTTTAGGGGGTTTGAAGGGGGCGGAGTCCCCCTCATCACCAAGAAAATTTTTGACATGTGACAGGCTAAAAATGGCCTTAGGTTGATTTTAGGGTAACAAGTAACCTACGCTGAAAAGGCTTTTACTCTATGTCAATCCATTGAGAAGTTGCAGCACTTTGAAATCAGTTTTGATGGAAAAAAACAATGCAAAATAGTGATTTTTGGCAATTTTGAGACGTCCCCCGTTGCCATGGTAACAGGAAATTTACCATTGAGCATGCTGTTACAGAGGCTATGGTGTAGTCAACATTTGTGCCAAGTTTCATTAGTATTGAAGCATTTTTCATAGTTTCATAGCAGTTTGAACTTGTTACAGGAGGCTTTTCAATGAAAACGGCCATTTTTCGCAATATGCTCATGGGGTAAAAGGTTAACAAACTAACCCCCAAACAGACTCTGAATTTTTGAAATTGCATTTAATGGGGAAAAAAGAGATTGTTTAAATTAATAATTTCATAAACTTACAATGACAAAGAAACACCAAATTGTTGTGTTTTTAGTGAACTGTTGTTACGCTGCACGTCACCCTCATATGGATATGTAGGTTTCTGTGTTGAGAGGATCTTAGCATTGTACCTATAGGAAGAAAAATATACGCACTTATTAACTTGCTGACTGGCTTGACTTTATAATAAATGTTGACTTGACTTATTTCTAATTTTAATCATAGTATACTTCAAGCTGCATGCCTTCAGATGAGCCAAAAATTTTCAAGGAAATCAACCTTGAGAAAAATGTACTAAGATTTTAAGAACAGTTAAACATAAAACAATAAAACACTGAAAATTCAATGCATTTAATGAGTTAACAGTATTTATCACCATAATTCAACTGCATGACCAACACAGTCAGGGCTATTTTTACATATTTTGACCTATTTTTTTGTGATTTTTACAGATTTTACATGCCTACTGCAATGAGAAATTTACTTTTTTTGTTCACTTTACAATAATTTACTTTTTAATACATTTTAATAGTTTTCAAGAAAATTAGCATAAATCTTGAGGCTTGTGGCTTTAAGATTGAAAATAGATCTCAAAAAGGAAGAATTTTGCCAAGTTCTTCTTGCCAAGTTTATTTAAACATTGACTAGTAAGATTAAAATTTTATGTGGTATGCAAGTACATGCACTTATTAAAACCACAAATACAGTTGATCTACTTATTATATGACTTGATATGACTCACTTGGAAAACCAATTAAACATTGTCACAGAGATTTATGACTAATACTCACTGTAGCACAAGTGGAGGGACTTTAAGTTGGTCAAAGTGTAAATGAGCCTTCAATTCATGTAGATAGTTCACATACATAACCTTCCGGCCAAACTTTGCACTGAAATGTAAAATTTATACATTCTAAACTCTTTCAGATTGAGTGACAAAAAAGGGATAAAGTAACCTGTGATATCAGAAACATACATAATTTAGAGTCCTTAAATAACATAAAAATTATAAAAGATATATATATCATTGAAGTTTCAGACTGTAGCAAAAATAGTTATTTTTTTAATTATTCTTTTTTTCAATAAATCATATTACAATTCCTTTTACAATGTCTACTCAGTATTTGTAGCTTTTTCAGAAATCAAAATACTAACAATAATATAATCAATTATATACATTTACTTATTTGGAAAAAATACAAAAAAATCAAATTCATATTCAAGCTTCTGATGATGCTGTTTCCACACACACAAATTGACATGATAGATGGCTCTCTCACACACTCAAGTGAAGATAGAATTAGTTATATACAAATAAGAACGACATAATCAGTGCTCAGTGTCATAATATATATCTGGCTAGCAATGCATCGATCTGATCTTGACAAGTGACATAAAATGTATGAAGACAAGATGTTTCAAGTGAAGCACTTCTATTCAGAAATGGAAATATACCTACTCACTCTAAAAATATTTGTGTTAGAGAGACACATTGTGTTGCCGCAATAGGTGTGTAATATTTATTCATTAAAACTCTAAATGACTAACCACGTTATTGTGGTTCCTATACAGCTGTATATCTCTCGTTATATCATATGCGTTGTAAATAATATAGAGCTCTTAAGATATTTCACTTGTTTGATTAGTGTGCTGGAATAAAAAATATAATATATATAACATAGAACAAGTTAAGAAGAATATTCAGTAAGGTGTCCACTTATAGTGTAAAATCTAATGTAAAGAATGAAATTAATCACACCTATTATACATTTTGATATGTAATTGGAGTCCTCTATAGTACCTCATCACATAATTTAAAAATATATCCACAGAAAAATAATCCCTCAGTTTACATGACTTATTAGCAAGACAATAGAGTTAGCAGTTTCAAGGTAGTAGGCCGACTAAAGCTATTAGCACTTCCGTATAACATATGAAAAATAGTAAAATCAGAATCTCGGTGAATGATTATTAGTTCCGAAAATTGAGAGAAATTACTTGTCTATACATATATGTGCTATTAGAGTATATATTGTCCTCATTAATAAACTCTAAAATCACTGAGCAAGCATTTTATAGTAAATTTAAATAAATAAAACAGCGTATTAAACCTATGACTTTCAAGCATCCCTTCTACACTCATGGAATAGGAGACTGGGCCGTTCCATTAATATGGAACGATTTTTATATGAAATAAATCCTCAAGGTTCTAGATCTCATATATTACATGTTCAAACCCTCGAAATAATATGACTTATAACATATGTGTGATATTTTCATCACACTCATGTTCTCAAGTCTCAGTCTTCTCACTCTCCTTATTAAGTAACGATGTGTCCTTTCGATCTATAGAGCAAGATTTAGAATATAAATAACTTCTGACTATTCTTACGTTTTATTCTCACACTTATATACTATATCTACATGTAAACTTTGGGATTGGTACCTATAATCTATCGTCGCGATTAGAACTTGTATCTGATCTGTCATATTAAAGTAATCTAGTGTGAAATAATAAAAAATCATAACATACTCGAGATATGACACATATTGTGACTATTAATTTGTTTTTGAGAACTTATGAGTAAGCTTGTAGTCATAAAAGAAAAATTATTCTACTGCAATTAAAAAAATATAGAGTCAACGCGTAAGATATTACTATTTGAATATAAAATTAAGGAGTGAGTAAAACGTAATAATTTTGTGACGTCTAAAATATTTTTCCTCAGTGAGATAACATATTTACACGTACTAATTTCTGTTTGTTGTTTGAATATCTAGCATGGATCAGGAATATAAGACAGATGTGTGAAAATACCATTATCAACAAGACAACTAGTTAATTTTAGACATGTTCCGTTTAAATAAACATCCTGTCAAGATGCCTGACTCGCGTTTCGATGAATTATTCTTCAATTATATACTAAGACGAGTACAACAAATCAGGTTATAACTGTCTGCACAAAGTTGGTATCAATCGCTGAAAAAAACTCAGATTGCAACGATATGGATTATAGGAGTATCTCGTCACACTCGATGGAGTGTGAATATTCAACAGGCAAAAGTAATTATAACACAGGAGTCGAGCTAATATTATGTACTCAAGAAACCTATATAAATATCAAACTAATACAATAGAGTATGATACTATATGTCGATAACACAAATAAATAAATAATCCATATGCTTATACTATTAATAGTAACAATTTTGAATGTATATATCGGTTGTAGAACCTTCACAGTAGGACTAAGTGAGAAAATTACACCTGAGAGTTCACTATTCTCTGGCAGGAAATGAATCAAATTTATGTTTCAAAAATTTAACTAGAATGAATAACAATCTGGATATGTTGAATAGTCAAGATTGCTAGATTGTAGATTACTGTAATGAGTAATCTCATGAACACCCTCTCTATAGTCTTAGTACTAAATAATTAATAGTCATAGAGACAAGACATTTAATTCTCAGAAAATTATTTTTCTACACGTATTTAAGACACCTCTCAATTTGAGTAATAACGCCAGATATTTATTACTATTTAATTAATATCTTGTTTACATGTCAGTCGTCAAAGAGATACACCAAGTGCACCATAAGCGTGAGACTCAGAGAGATATTTAAAGCAGAATCACGCTTCGTGCTATGGCTTTTAATTTCTCACGTATTTCACATAATTACAGATATTAATGTCTAATACAAATTATTATTTAAATCTAGAACTGACATAGTCAGTTGGTGGTGGTTAACTAGCGCATTTTAGGCCGACCTGATAGCCGCGATATTTTTTCGATATAGAAGAGCCGAAATTCTAGACAGATTGATATTATCTTTGTTTGATTTTATGTCATCAGAAAGCCACGGAGGAAATTTATAATGGGCATTAAATAAATTTACTCATGATGTGGCCCAGCATTAGTGATTATAATATAAGTGAAGAAAGGCGGATTAATTGTATTTTGATTCTCAATTTGTGTGAAATTTTGGTTTGTGGGAGAAGTCGTTTTTTTGTACTGTGCACATAAATGCAGTGCTATTTAGAGCCTTATGAAAATAATGAACTATGCATTTTATGTTTTATATCTTCTTATTTTTTAATATTTGGGTTTAACGCCGCTTTCAACAGTATTTCAATTATATCGGAGAGAATTTAACGAAACCAGTTGTTTCTCACAGTAATCAAACTTCTCTTTTGGAAATGAATGAACAGGAGTCCCAGGTGGACCTTGAAACATTTCATTACACAGTAAACAATTCTTTAAGGATAATCTATAAGTACAATACGCAATCCGTGTTCATTGAATCCATGCCTTTCCGAAATTCAGCGTAAGACCACTTTATCAATTACACCCGTGGGCAACAGAAACAATATTCAAAGTTAAAAACCTGATTATGATCTCAACTTGAAGTCCACTTTAATTGATTTACATCATAAAAACACCGTGTTTTATGTGTGTAATTTGAGGTGTTTTTTTATAACCTTTACATAGAAATGCCTTTGTTGCCTAGAGTGGTTTCTCTACAGAGGTAAAATGGTTAGTGGAACTTCTTTAGAAATAAATAATACTTTGAGTGCCGCTATGTTATACTGTAATAAATTAAGAATCAGTGTAATGAATCCGAGTGAGTAATGGTAACTATATCGATGTTTACACCGAGCAAATAAATTCGAAAAAAGATCCTGAACAGTGCCGGAATATGGCCAATTATATGAGTTGTTCCCTTTAATCAGTATGATTGTTGTGCTTTCCAAAATAGTCTGTTTACTAGCTTTGTCCACATTAAGTTGCTCATTTCTCGTGCAACACATATAAGATCAATGACATTTTACTTAAACACTCTCACTAGTCTACTATGATTGTGTGTATGATAATTGCATCAGATCTTAAAATACTCAAGGTAATGTCCACAAAAATATTCACTAAAAAATAGATAAAATAATTATAAGAGTTTTTAGATGTTTCTTGTGAACGAGCTTTGTTTTTAAATAAGAGTTTTTCTTATAACACAGGCGGATCAATGCCCATCTGTAGACGTGCACTTGAGATATAAATAGAGGTTCGCCATCATCCATCAATAAAATTCTTAAGAAATAGATTCTAAAGGTTTTTTCTATTTCTACTATTTAGCTCTATAGATCCCTAAAAGGGCCATAAATTAATAAAAGCAACGTGATAAAAAAAACTCCTGAGAATGCTACAGACAAAGTTTTGATGGTCATCCATCAATGAGGTCTGTAGAAATAGACGTTAAAAGTATTTCTATTTTTAGCTAAACTGTCCCGTTAAAAGGGCCATTCAATTATATAAAGCAAATTTGATGATAAGACCTACTGAAGAATGATCACAGACAAAAATTGTGGTGATATCGAATTAATTGAGTTTTAGAAGAAGATGTTTAACATTTTTCTTATTTTTAGCCCTCTAGAAAGCCCTTTAAATGGGCAATAAAATAAAAATGGACAAACTTGATAAACTCTACCTAAGAATAGCACAAAACAAAGTTTTTGGTGATCTATCCATCTTTTAGTTTTCTGTAGAAATTAGACGTTTAAAGGATATATATTATTATTTAGTTTAAGCAGCCCTTAAAAAGTGACCAATCACATACAATAAATAAGCAAAATAAATTAAAACAATACCAAGAAAGCGCGGTATCAGAACCAATGGTTTGGGCCGATCACCATCAATTAAGAAACATTACGTTTATGATTGAGAAGCCTCATATATATCATATTTATAAAACACATTTATATAATCATCATCTATAAAACAACGCTCGTAGTTACTGAGAGGCAACCCTCAAAATGAAATAAAACAAAGAGCGCGAGAGATATAAACAACCATTATTAATACCTGAATAATTATTGGAATCACAATCTCATGGATAG